ATGAATATGTCGTATAATCTTACACAAACTGTAAAATATCTAGAAAATATACGGTTTCCATATCGAAGGCTAATCTTATTCAAAGTTACCCAAAATTCAAGGCAACTTTGAATGTGACTTTTGGAGCAAATCTAGAACAGTTTTGTTGAATAATTACTAAATTTCTTCTATAAGAACGAAAAAAGGGCTTAAAAGAACACTATTCAGTTAATAAAGTAATTGTTAAGAAACATAATTAAATTTGAATTTATTAGAAAAACGCAAAAAATGTTCAAAGTTACCCGAATTGACTGTATTCAAAATGTTGGAAATTATTTCAATCACTACGTGAGTGAGTCAAAAGTGAGTCACAGCGATCATTTGAAAATGGTGGATTTCCTTATACGCATTTTTCATTGTGTAAACGATTTTTCTATGTACGTACAGTCAGGTGCCGCGCAAACTTGTGTCTTTTGTTGGATACAAGCAAACAGACAACTAGAAGCGAATATTCTATTTTTATACAATTGATATGGAACCGACACAGTCGACGATTGGGCAGTCGATCACTGTCGCCGGTTACCTAAACCGCAATTTGTACCACGATTTTTCTACGTAAATGTACCTATCAATGAAAATAATTGAATATCCAATAGGTTCTAAACAATGGAGCGACTAATTCTAAAATTTCGCGACTAGAACCGACTAATCCACGACTTTTACTGGGTGCAATTAGATCTGAGCTAGGAGCTAGGGTTCTCGAGATTCAAAAATAGTGCCGCCGGAAAAAGCTTATTATATATAGCGTGGACAGTAAAATACCTTAAGAACTTCAAAACGGCGTGACGACTAAATCTAGTTTTTTACGACTAGAACCGACTAAATCACGACTTTTTAATGTAATCAGATCTAAGCTGGATGTTGCGGTTCTCGAGATTGAGAAATAGTGCTGCGAGAATAAGCTTATTCCAGCGAAGTAAAACACCCTTCTAACTTTTGAACGGCGGACCGACTAAATCTAGTTTTTTGCGACTAGAACCGACTAAATAGCGACTTTTTCTGACTAGTCAAATTTCAAAAACTCGACCATCGCTCGATCGTCACGCTGGAATAAGGCACACTACATTTTTGGTCGAATATCGCTTCCAGTGCAATTGAACAAGATCCGTCAATGTGTAGCTTCATGTGATGCTGTGCAATCTGACCTACCAATTATCTGATATTTTTTCAACTAGAGCGACTATTTGTATAATTTTGCGACTAGAATTGTGCCGCCGGAATAATCGTGTTTCAGCGTGGACAGTACACCATCGTTATGACTTCAAAACGCCATAACGACTAAATTTCGTTTTTAAGACTAGAATGGACTAAATAGCGACTTTTTAGTACAATCAGATCTAAGCAGTGTCCGTCAGATGGCTGGACCAAACGAGATATACAAATCAAACTGTGTTCATTATTTACTACCTATTTTCTACTATTTAGTACTTTTATTGACATATTTTGTACCTTTGCGCTAACGGAAATATTAAAAAATAAAGTGGCCAGTCATTCTGAAGTCAGGTTGGCTGGACCACTACGTTTTTCATAGTTCTAGCAGTATATAATTTACTTTTTTTTTAACTAACTATTTACTACCAAATTTCTACCTAAACATACTTTTTTCACTTTTTGGGAAGCTTCTATAAAAAGTTATTTTCAAAAAGTAATAAAACGCCTTTGCAAAAGGTATCCTCTAAAAGCAGTTTATCTAAGGACGGCTTTTTACCTAAAATCGAATACGACGCAAAAAAATATCCCAACACAAGAAAATCTGTATAGGATTTCCAGACCGTTATCGGGACTTCAACTTTTCACAATTTCCATTACAAAATATGTTAATAGCATACTTACTTTGCTTTTGCTGAAAGACCATCGTAGCTGTCGAACTTGCGTTTCGAGGCGGACTTGCTGAGAATAGGAGTCTTTCCACTTTCGCGAACTGTTGCTGGCGTATTCACGTTGCCTGATACCATCTTGCGTAAACCACTCAGCATACCTTAAAAAAAAATTGTACTTGTTACATCAAACGTAACAGCAAAATTCCTACTGAAGCCAAATATCAAACCAAAACTACTACTTTACCGCAACCGCGGATTATCCGCATATTTTTTTAAATATCTGCATCCGAATCCGACAACCGCATCAGTCGATGCAGTTTTAGCGGATGCGGATGTTTTGCAGGTCACGACAAGATAATTGGGAACAGCAACGAAAAGCCCTTGCCAAGTACTAGTGCTATGCAAGGATCGAGAATTTGGCTGCGCGTGGTGGAGACAACGACCTATTTGCTTTAAGTATTAATAAATGCAATATTCCATCCAAGTCTTTTCTGACAGAATTACGTAAAACTATTATATCTTTTTAAATTAATGTTCAGACCAGACTTGATTGGCAAATATGGATGAAGTTTTTTTTTCATATGAATAATCATATCTATATTCCATCTACATCTGGTGTCATTATAACCCACACCCGCGGTATCCCAGCTTTAAAGTTTAGATGTATAAACTATTTTACTCTACGTTTGCATATTGTGTCACCTAATCCTTATGCACAAAAATAAAGCTCTTACGATTAAAAGACCCACTTCGTCTCTTCTTCCTCCTTGTGAGATAAACGTCGGAATCATCGTCAAGTTGGCTCATGAGATCGTCTGTTAACAGTCCTATAAGTTTCGAGTTTTCGATAAATATCTGCAAATAAAGAATACAACTAAATGCGATGATGTTCATGTTAACCCAAAGAGCATCATTATTATTGGTTTGTGTGGATTTGCTGACAGTATCATAAACAGCGTGTTGCATGGTCGCGCGATTGAATACTAACTCTTCGCGCGATTGAAGCTACTCTACACAAACTAAGCTGAAGTCGTGATGTCGAATAGCGTGTCGCTATACAGAATAAATACCCACAGAGTGTCTACATTCGGAAACTGATACATCAGTAACCAACTATTGTAAAAATAATATGTTGGCCATATTTTTATTGTTATCCCTTCTAGCGTCATCCCAACACAATTACAAGTAAAATTTGGAATGGAATGCTTTTTTTACGTAAAAATAATTAAGTTAACCCAATTTATGAACATCAGTTACTGACTGAGTAATTATAACATTGTATTTGTTACCACGACTCATTGACCTATTGGTATACAATTGAATTCTGTAGGTCATTATTGCACACAGAGATAATAATATTATGCAAGATGCTGAAATATATATTATGTAGTCTCAATGATATTCCAGCATATCGGATTCTTAAGCTCCCGCGATAACTACCAGTTGGATATGACACTTATTTTTCTGATCTAAACTGCGATTATTTGTTGTTCAAACACACCAACATACGCGATTTAGATCCGAAATAATAGTACACGAACCATGTGTTTCCAACTTTCTTTATTAAAAATTCGTATTTCGTATTTATATATTCGTAGCACATACACAATTTCTCACAGGACTGAAAAAGTTTAAGTGTCAGAATTTTAAGAAAAGGAGATATAGAGTTAACAACAAAACAGAATATAAATTTTATGATTTGTGGACAAACATGAGCGTCATTCGTTTGTAACATAGTTTCCCAAAGTAGTCCCTACCGCCCAGTGGGCGAAGTGAAGACACCTATGGGTCTCGGAAGCAATTGGGGGTGGTTGATGCTGTCCAGGGGGTGCTGCATTTGAAAAAAAAATCTGCATAATACATACTGTGTTAAGTTAATATTTTCAATAATTTTTATGGCAGTGTCAGTATCAATTTATCTACATTATTGAGCCTCTTTGTTTTGCTATTGAATGTTATAGTTTGTAGGCTAGACCAATGTATAGTAACCTTCACAAGAGCTACGTGATGCTCCAATCGTGGCGCTGAGGATGCAGCTGGCAGTGGCATGATGCTAGGTGCCATAACAATGGCCAGATTTGAAGTATCCATCAGGTTCTCCTTGTGGTGTGATGCTATGAAATTCAACAGCTGAAAACAAATAACTTATATTCATTTTTATTCACTAATATTTAGCTCACTCAACATGTATCAGTATTTGGCATGGTGTACATCTAACTGATGCATTTTAGTATTAAATTGAAATATTAAATTTTTTCTTACAAATAATAAACAATTTTAAAAATGGTAAATTTAAACACTACTTCATGTTAGCGCCACGGTGTGTCTAGGACAAGTGACATGTGTCCTGTAACCAGCAGGTTAGGGACTTTTCCAAATAATATTATGAACCTTACTCAATAATGTGTTTTCTTTCCTGCAAGTTATATTTATGATACTAGATGCACTGCTGGTAATTAGAAGAGACTCAGTGGTACATGCCCACCGGGGGAAGCAACTAGGCTAGTACAGCTTGTCTTTTCAGTCATTTGCTCAAAATATACATGAGCAAATGTTTGTGCCTAGTCCTACTAGCATAGTTAATGGATAAAACTTAAATTAGAATTTATATTTTGAAACAACATTTTAAGTTACAAACCTCCATGATGTAATGCAAAAGATGAACATGTAAAACAGGCAGCAGCAACAATGTACGAAGAATAGGCTTTAGGGCGTCATCCCCAGCTGTAAGTCTGCATCGGAGCAGCAGATCTTGCACTTCAGCGCTAATAAGAGGCTCGGGGAGACACCGCAGGTACTGTTTCAGGACGCTTGCCACGTCAATAGAATGGTGACCTTCAGAAACACAACCACCTGCATCCAGTAAGCGCTAGAAATTGGAACACACTGTTTTATAATATGTTTCTGACAGGTTACCAGGGAATTGTATTGTGTATATTATTATCATGCATTACCTTGATATCTTTTTGGCGTGTTTGAGAGCCAGCTTTACGGAATAAACCTTCAATTCGGGCGTTTGCTCTTAGGACTGAAGACATCTCACTGACAATAATAGGAACACTCAATGTGCTACCACAACAAATAACACTGCACGATGGGACCTTAGCTAACGGCGCTCCGAATACAGTCTTGTGCTCCTAAAACTCGCAAAATAATAATTTTATTGAAAAAAAAATCGTAAATTTATCATAAAACGATTATGGCGCGTCTACTTACTTTTACATTTTTCATAATTATTTTCTTTAAACGGTGTTTCAAACCGGCTTTTTTCAATTCTCCAACGATAATAGCTTGCAGTTTTCCATGGTTTATGCCATCGGATATCAACATTTTCGCTATTTTCACAAAATCATTAGCAAAAAAAACACTTCCTTCCACTTTGAAATCGTGATTTGTTCGTTATTACGTTCCGGTTTACATAACGAGCCTACCCAAATGTCATATTTCTGGAAACTTATTTTTCTAGCGTCATATTTTATCCCGAGTTTAATGTTCGGTCATGCTCCATTTTCTTTTTTTCAGATTTTCATCATTTTTTTTAAAATTAATATTTTCCTGTATTTTTCCACATTTGGCAGTTCACAGAATTATTATTGTCTAATGACACAAAATAAACAATAAGAGAACGGGCACTCTCTGCACAAATTAGAAAGATATAGTAGGAAAATTGTAAGATATATTTATTTTTTGAAATTTATTACATTTTTAACTACTAAAAAACTTATTATAACAATAAATTTAACAAGTCAATTTATTATGCATTTTAAATAATTTACATAATTTCATTCCAAGAGTTGCCGATTTATATTAAATTGTTAGACGTATTTCACCATGGAATTAATAAGTACTTCGTACAACTGGAAAGCTCACTGCAATTATTTTGACATATCAAAATGAACGTTAAATTAATAGCAATAAAATACTTTTTAAATAACCAATATCTCCTTAGAGATCTGAGCTCAAGTGAGACATCTTCTTTCTTGGTGTGTCCCTTTCGCACAATTGCCATGTGAGATATTTGATACAATACGGTAGTTGACTATAAAAAAAAATTGGCATAAAAACAATACGTCATTTTGTCCATGAATATTATAAGATGTTTGTAAATAATACCATACCAACTATGAATGCAATAGGTCGCAAATAAATCAAAGTCTTTATATTATTTCACAATATTTAAATATTATTGGAAAGTTTTATTTGTTTTACATTAGGCAACACTAAAATAATATGGCGTCATCTCTGTTTGTTATTACCTCTCTGTTTGTTATAATTATGTTAGAAAGAGACGGACCAAGATTTATGACATCTCGCTCGGCGCACGCTTCAATACACAGTAAGCCTTCCAGTTGTACGAAGTACTTATTAATTCCATGTATTTCACTTTTAATCTGTGTTTTTTTGGGTCTCGTGACGTCCAATTAAATACGACCTCCATACCCAGTACGTAAGTTTGATATTTAGGTTCTGAATAAAATGGATGATGAGGTGATCTTCTATGGTCGGCTCAAATACTACAGTGTTTCCGTAGCGTGACTCTCCGCCCCTTCCTAGTTAGATACCGCACCACGCCCCGCACATTGCCGGTCACCACCTTGGTCACCACATAACTAATAAGATATACCATTGACTGACGACAACAAGGCTGCCGGTGAGCCGTTTCCGCGCGAAGACGGCTTTGATATTTGAATATAGTTTTCATTTATTCATTACGAAACTTGGACGTAAATATAAAACATCATTTCACGTTACTATTTATAATGGTCGTGAATTGTGCTGTGTACGGCTGTTTATCTCATTTTCCGAAAGATGAAACGAAGTAAGTAAAAAAAACTTATGTCTGACACTCATTCAGTTATTGTTTTCTTCATTTGTTTACTGCAGAGTAATATATGTATATATAAAAAAATTCAGATTTATTATTACAATATAATGACTTCAATGACGCCATGACTTCGCGAATTTTTTATTCCTATTGCTGATCAATATTAGGTAGGTAGTGAATATATCTAATTATTAACTAAACTTGGACAAGCAATTTCAAATACTTTGGTTACCTTATTTAAAAGTACATTTTAAGTGCTTTTAATATATTTTTGAAATAATTCTTCAATATTACTCTAGTTAGTGAATTAATGAAAAATATAATAATATATCGATATAAATACCTAATAGACATATATAATTATTAGGATTCGTAGAGGGAGAATTTGGATGGAGGGGCTCTATAAATAATAAAAACCGTATATGCGAGATAGATTTATGCCAGACATATAAACGAGAAAACAATATTATTTTTTGCCCCTTTCTACGTATGCGGTTTTGGTTGTATGACTCAACCCTCGTTGACTCCAGCAAATCCTTCCGAGTGTTTGATGTGCATCGATTTTATGTGTTTGTGCTTTTAAAAAATGTTTTACAAAGTTCCGTTCCTTTACCGTTCCTTTGTAGTAATTGACAATTATTGCAGCTCACAATAATGGTGCATTGATATATTTTAGGCTGTAAAAGCCGTACGGAACGAAAAATTCCAAACATAACATTTCAGACGTAAATTTTAATTTTTCATTACAATCAATAATTATTAATACAAAGATCGAACAATCAGAAAAAATTCCTTCGATCCGGTCGGATTCGAACCGACGTCTTCTTGCATACCGTGCCAGACGCTATACCAACTAAGCCACGGAACGAACCAACGGACCTCACGAATTTTTCTATGTGCTTGCGTCGTGTCTTTGTACTTGGTCTTTCAACGACTTTTTAGTCGTAGCGCCATCTATGAGAAATCTATGACAGATTTATCACCCAGTTAGTACCTTTACAGCTACCAGTCCTGACGAGAGATGTCGCTATTCATTGTATTAATTAAATTTTTATTGAATTGATATTCAATTATTTTTTGTGACCGTGCCAGACGCTATACCAACGAGACGTCGGTTCGAATCCGACCGGATAGAAGGAATTTTTTCTGAGTGTTTTTTTCTGAGTGTTCGATCTTTGTATTAATAATTATAACAAACTAGTGGAGTAATTTCACAAAAAATAATTGAGTATCAATTCAATAAAAATTTAATTAATACAGTGAATAGCGACATCTCTCGTCAGGACTGGTAGCTGTAAAGGTACTAACTGGGTGATAAATCTGTCATAGATTTCTCATAGATGGCGCTACGACTAAAAAGCCGTTGAAAGACCAAGTACAAAGACACGACGCAAGCACATAGAAAAATTCGTGAGGTCCGTTGGTTCGTTCCGTGGCTTAGTTGGTATAGCGTCTGGCACGGTATGCAAGAAGACGTCGGTTCGAATCCGACCGGATCGAAGGAATTTTTTCTGAGTGTTCGATCTTTGTATTAATAATTACTTAATTACTTATTAGTGGAGTAATTTCACAAAAAATAATTGAATATCAATTCAATAAAAATTTAATTAATACAATCAATAAATTTTCTTGTATGAATTTTACAATTTATGGGTCATTTTAAATATTGTATTTTTTTTACTTTTCAATACTTTTTCAGTTCTCTTTTTTCAACGCTTGTTATTTTGCTACCTTATATGTGGATTAACTGATTTGAAATAAATAATTGTCAGTTGGTTTTAAGTGTGTGACGATGTGACCTCCTTATATCGTCATCCCACCTTTTTGTATCACTTTTGTTTCGTATCACGGCCACTCTAAGCCCGACCGCGTTAGCAAACACATCTATCTACTCGTCTTATTTTTGAACCGTTTACCACTTACTAAAATCAAATTTTTGATTCTTTATCAAGTTATAATACGAAACATATAATACAAAACGGAACAAAAGAATTATCAAAAATTTGCTGCAATAGTTTTTCGACCAATAATGAAGCCATAAACCCGGATGTAACGGTGCCGCCATTCAAACCTTGGCTATTACACGAATATGAAGATTTGTACAGACGGCAATAAAAAAGTAATGATTTGTCATAATTGTTTTATTTGGTTACTAAAACTCAACCAAGCTAAATGTGGTCTGCCGGATTCTCCCTCCTTAGACTCGGCAGATTTTATCATTATCATGAACCCATTTATACGTTCCACTGCTGGGCACGGGTCTCCTCTCAAGCGAGTGCTTAGACGACAGTCCACCACATTGGCCAAATGAGGGTTGGGGACTGCACACGTTTTCCGGGGACTTTGAACCTACTTCAACATTTTATTTCATCACGATGTTTTCCTTCACCGAAAAGCTCATGATAAATATCAAATTAAATTTCGCACAAATTCCGAGAAACCCGTGCTTGAGAGGCAGTAGGTCAAACCATTAGGCTACCACGGCTTCATTTTCATTTCAATTTCTTTAACGGGGTAAAATTTTAAAAGTAGACAACTTTCCAGTATACGCGAGAATGTTCTCTATTCTTTTTTTTATTCTCCCTCTACGTTAGGATTCTTTTAATAGAATCGTAGATAACAGATTCGCGTTGGAATTTTCGCTATGTTGCCGCTCTGACCACGTAACGTAATAGTGCGAGAAAGTGATGGGTAATCCTGCCACTTCACGCACACATTTGCGCGTGTGCAGATAGCGCCTTGCTGTATGTAGTAGTAGTAGGTAAATAATTTTCGACCGTTGTATGGAGTGTCCGGGGTGTGCTAATGATTTCAAATCTCGTTTTAATCTGACTTGCTTTTATCTATGTATAAAATTTTATTTTATAACGCTAAATAAAACTTCAAAAGATATATCTAAAGTTAGAGCATAATATAAACCTTCAAATTAGATAGTTTTTAAATTTTACATAATTTTTTCCGGAATTTTCAGTATTTGAAAATTTTCAGAAAATTAGAAAACACTTGTACCCGAGTTGCTAACAAATATTGTACCGGAACGTTTTGTCATTGAGAAACGGATTATGTCAACAAATGTCGCCAAAATTTTTGAACGTAAATGTTAATGTCAATAACGAAAATCGAGAAGTGGGATTTGTGTGTCGGTTTTCATAATAAAAACGATAAAATTTCAGTAATTACCTACACTAACTTAGTTTGTATATACTGCACACATATAATTACTCAATGACAAGTTGTAGAATCAATACGGAAGTAAAATTTTGTTCAACATTTCACCATGATCGAACTCACTGCAAAACTCACCACTGGCACGGTTTATTTGGCTGGTGAGGCTCTAGAATGCTGTATTTCCTTCTGCCACACCACCCAGCCTGAACACAGAAATTCTCAAAGCCATAGGTAATGTATTTTTTTCGATTCATTTATGTAGCACAGTGAATGAATAAAGAAGTGATTTTCCATGTATATTCTTATATATATTTCAGTGATATTTTGGAAAATCTAGCATGGGCATCAGCGCAAATTCATTGTTTCTTCTCCACGACGAAGAACTCTGGAGAAAAAACACCAACCATAGAGAAAACAACATCTTTGGAAGTGACTTCATGTGATATAGGGGATGTGATGTTCCATACTAAACCAAAGATCTTGTTTTGTGACTTGACTATTCCTCTTGGAGAGACGAAGACGTGTGAGTACAAATTCTAATAAATTAATTTATATTCCTCTCTAGGAATAGAATTTCTCAAAATTTTATAAATTTCTCTAAATAGATTGACCTTAGATCTGAGTGTGCCCTACCATTTGATATTATTAAAAAACATATTGCAGCTAGTTTAGTATGTTGAAGTGAGTGTGAGTAAACATACAATATTCCCGCAATATGTTTGTATGCCTAATGTTTGACTGGACATAGTGAAAATATACTATTTTGTTACTTATGAAGATAAAAATGGCATTGTAAAGAAAACCCTCTAGCTTTCGTGGTGACAAATACCAATAGACACTTTTAACACCCTTCTATTTTTCTTCTGTGTTATAAAAGAGAGATGTCTTCTTTCTTGTATCACTCTGACTAATGCAAAAGTAATGTAAAATTTGATTTCCTAAATAATCATCAATGCATATAGAACCATATGTATGGCTGGCCACCACATTGGCCCCATATGGGTTCAGGATGTCTAAACATTTGAGTTTTGTCAATGTTCTCCTATATAGGGTAATTATAGATATGGGTTACAAATTGATGTCTAAATTTGAAACCATTGTTACTCCATTTTTGGACACTGATTCCTTTTTTACTCTTGAAATGCAATATCAGGATATTAGAGTTTCAAAATATATTTTCTAGACCAAAGTCGTGTAATTATAAAGTCGTATAATTATTAAATAAAGGTATAATCAATACCTTTATTTAAATTATAAAATAAAGGTATGAGCATAAATTGTCATATTTAACTCTTAATTTGCAGAAGTTAATTGGCCATCTATAAGAACCGGAAATAGGCATCTCGTATCCGCAACTACCGCAAATTAAGAGTTAAATATTTCTAGTAATTCTGTTTTTTGTGCCTACTCAAAAGTTCACACTAATAGGGATACGAGGTTTACAAATTGAGTCAATGCAATTTCTATTACCATTAAGGGAGCGTTGTTGTACTAAATAAGTATTACATTTTTCCAGTCTGGTACAGAGAATCGCTACCAATAGAAGCGCCACCTTCCTACAGAGGGACTTCAGTGAAATTTTCTTACAAAATAACTATAGCTACTCAGAAAGTAGGTTCACATATTAAAATGGTCAGAATACCATTCAGAGTGCTACCTATTAGTCCAATAATGAATGTTCAAGATCTGGCAGCATTATGTGGAAATGAAACTACTGAGGAATTGCAGCCGACTAATCCTTTTTCCGAAGAAAGGAAGGTTGAAACTCCTTTGACAATGGCTTTGCAAGTTTTGCAGGTATTTATATCTTTTACATTGCATGCTGGGGTGCTGGGTGGATAAACGCACGCACGCACGCACGCAGACACGCAGACGGACAGACAGGCACGCTGACGGACAGACGGACACGCAGACGGACAGACAGACACGCAGACGGACAGACAGGCACGCAGACGGACAGATAGGCACGCAGACGGATAGATAGGCATGCAGATAGACAGACAGGCACGCAGATGGGCAGACAGGCACGCAGACGGACAGACAGCCTCGCATACAGACAGACGGACGGACGGATGGACGGAGGGACGGACGGACGAACGGACGAACGGACCGACAGACGGACCGACCGACAGACAGACATCTAATTCGCCCTAGGAGTACTGACAAAAACGGCACATGCATTGACATACCAATAAATGGACGTCGGGTTCGCGCTAAAAAGTGTCCGCACCTATAGGGCGTTAAAATCGAATACAGAGCGTCAATCGCGCAACAATCTTCGTTTGTTCGACTGACAGCGCGGTTGTCAATCATGCAGTACTATATAATAATAACTTGTAAAAATTACTGCAGTAAAGTGTAAAAACAGGATTTTGTATCATATTGTCACTAAACAAATATATTGTGTTATCATAGTTCTCATTTAAAAGTGTTATTTTGCACAGTTTTATAGTATTTAATTTAATTTATATATAAATGAATCGTGAGTATAAATTAAAAAAGCTCATAAAATAATCACGTAGCTAACTGTCCTTTTTCTACACATTGCATGCGCACAAGATGGAAAGAGATCCATTACGTCAATTTCAAGAAGCTTATATAATCTTCTTGGTCATTTTCAATTGTTCGAACCACAAGCGATTGAAATACTTAGAACAAAGAAACTATAGAGTCGCTTTGATTTTAATCTTATTTTTAAAATGATTTTTTTAATTAAACGTTAGCAATAACTAACAAAATATTGTTGTACTCGTTTTACGCCTTGGGATTACCTATCAGAAGTCAAAAACTACATTTGCCCGAAATAACGTTAGCTCGAATTTTCATAATGTCAAATGTTTTTGTTTAGAAATAGTACAAAATAAAAGCTAATTTTGCCTTAGTGAAAAGCATCATAATTACTCGAAAGCGTAATGGTTTTATTATAAATTGGTTTTCGGAAGTACGGATGTTTGAGTTTACGTTTAGTTCGAATATCGGTACATTTCTTATAGTACACGCTTATTTTCACATTTGTAGTAATATTGGTATGTATGTATCTGCTCAACTCCTTATTATTTCTTTAAGGGAATTTGTTCAAAATTCGACATAATAATATGTATAAAAATTAATTAATATTTAGGATAAAGGCTACCCATTACTCTTGTGTTGAAATAATTTTTAGTTGAAGCTAAATAAAGTGCATTTTGTTAAGCTTCCAGTAGAAGCTGAATATGGTGTTTTCGGGCCTTTAAATTGTCGCAAGCAAAATTAAATTAAATGTTTTAGTTTTTTATATTTCGTTACATGTCACTACGTTTGTATAGGTTAACTTCGGACATTTATTTCGTGATTTTTGTATTAGATCCGACGTCCATTTGTTGGTAGGTCAATGAGCACATGTCATATTTTTCATGCAATTCCGTTCCGTCGCAATATTAATTGACCCTAAAGGTCCAATTATACAAGTCTTATATCCTGAATTACCTGGAATATGTTATTTATTTTCAGAATCTCACAGCTAGAAGGAGTCCAAACTCTTACTTGATAACAAACTCAAGAGGCAAAGTAGGTCGATTCTGCCTTTTCAAATCAGCTTATAAGTTAGGAGAAGATATTGTTGGTACTTTTGATTTCTCTGTTGGTACTGTCACTTGTATGCAGGTAAGCTCCAGTTTTACATTAAATTTTGTATGGAATCGCTATGGTATCCCTTACTAAAATTCATGCAGCCCCCATGAGGAATGTGAAGAACAAGATGCGCTAGTAATCACGACAATATGAAAGACAATGTATTAATAAACTCTGTCGCTCTAGTAGCTTCAAACTTATACAAACCCAGTAAAATCAAGATGCCATAATAAAAGTCGTTCCCGTTCGCAGGTATCGGTATCTCTCCAACCAGAAGAAATAATAAAATCAAAGTCTCCTAGCAAGACCGCTAAACAAGATACCTGCAGTAGATCTATGACTGTGGCCAGATACCACGAAGTTACACTTGGGCTTACTCATTCACAGCTAATTCTGCCTATACCATTACATATTACACCTGCTTTTGAAGTTGATGAAGGTAACATCTTTTTAAGCCTCTACGCGGATGATTGCTTATTTTTTTTAATAAAACTGGACACGTGGCTACTGTTGCTTTAGAGAATCGTTGTACCGTGAACAGTGATGTGGTGGTGAATAGTACACGACCATTTGTTTGCCGGAAGTTATTGACACTCTGTAAAAATAACCGAAACGCCGTATCATCTTGCACCACGATAATGCCAGACAAATCAATTTTTGAAGGTGAACAACGTTGACCTTATGAGCCATCCCGCGTACAGCGCCGACCTGGCACCTTGTGATTTTTATTAACTTCCAACTAAACTAAATTAAGAACCAGTTACGCGGTCAACGATTTTCATCACCTGAAGAGGCTGTCGAAGAGTATGAAAAATATGTTTCAGAGATTGCCACATAAATGTTTTCAAAATTGATTTATTCGTATGAAAAAGTGCATTAACGCTAACGGAGAATATTTGGAGAAACAAATACATTTCTGACCATTTATAGTATTTTTTATTTTTCTCGGAAACTTATAGTGCGCTTCACGTACAGGCGTACATGTTTGGTTAGGTAGTATTTTGATTTATTATCAGTTTGGATTCAATGAAGTGTTTTCTTGATGCATTGTTTTTGTAATGGGCTGACATGTTCAATAATGATCACAGCCCCTAAATAAATAGAGTTAAAAAATAATTGCAGTTTATGACAGAAAGTACATATTGATTCAACTTGGGCTTTATTTGAACTAAAGTTTCGTCTCCATGTGCAAGTTTAGTCTAAGTGAACGTGTATTACCGACGATTCGGCGTCGGTAATACACGTTCACTTAGACTACTTCAAAGAAGTTATAATTCTACTGAAATCTAAATTAAAGTTCCTTCTTCACAGTTTCACTAAAATGGCGCCTCCACTTTGAATTTGTTACCACAAATGAGAAATTACTACCAAACCCTGAAGAAAACGATTGGAAGGCTCCTCTCAATGTGCCAATTGAGACCATGGTGTGGAACCTTCCTGTGAAGATATATTCCACATTGCCAAAACAAATCACTCAGCATGCTATTGGTAATGATGCTTATTCCATGTATATTAAATGAGACATTATGTTTTAAAAGGATTCAAAAGACTGCAAAAGTAACTTATTAACATAAATGTTTTTTTTTCGTCTGTACAGTACATAATGCTCAATTTAAGTACTCCTACGCAATCTATCGTATTCGTAAGCCACATAAATAGGTGCATTTTTTCATAAATCACTTTATTTTTATCCAGGTATATTATACTAAGAGCGCGTTCACATTATGTCGTAAACTTTTATTTATCGTTGGACGATTGTCGCGTCTAGGCCGTTCCGACTATATGTCGTGATATGGAACGTTTTGTGTCGTGGACGATTATTTTCTTACTAGATAGTGACGACAATTTATCGTTTCAAGGCAGCCGCCTTGTCGTTTGCACGACAGAATCGTTTGAAGCTGCGATTATCTGTCGTCACATTTTTATCGTGACGTTTTATTTATCGTCTTATGCCTGTCGTTGCTCTTTCCAAGCTCTTCCCATTGTTACAACAGTGTGTCGTCGTAACTTCAAAAAAGTCGTGAACGACATAGTGGGAACGCGCCCTAAGTAGTGAAATTATAAAGCATGGAAAAGAAGGAGTAGATATCTTTAATTACAATATCTCAAGAATCGCAGGTTATGTTCTAGTAGTTCTTTCAATACATGAGAGACTCAGTTCACCTGTAAAAGTTGTCAATTTGGGCTATTATGATTCTTTAACAAGGAGGGATCGAATTTTGATTGGCTTGTTACTGTATTTCCATCAAGATGTTTATAGCAGAAAATTTTGAAATGGCTTCAATTTTTAAATTGGGAACATTTTTAAATGTTTAATTGAATTTGTGTACAAGGAACTTTATAAATTTATTATGGAATTGAAACAGGAACATGTTTCAGTCTCATGAGACAAAGCAATATTAGCCTAATTAATAAACTGATTATATGATTATTATGATTGTAAATAAAAATATCGCTAATGTATTTACAGTTATTTATTAAAATTGAAACTTAACAAGTAGTTTCATTCATCTACCGATTCTTTGTCCCAATCTTTCATTTTTGCTCCCATCATGAAGTCATCCCTGAAAAACACAATTCAGATTTCTTAGCAAATTTATACAGCATTTTGGCACTGTGTATTTGTGTTGTTGAAGAAACACAATCAACAGCCTCAAACTAAAAAAATTTCCTCCTATTAAATGTTTTCTTGAGTACCACAGAAAAAAAATTATTACAGGTTGGTCATTTTACAGAACATAATTAACAAAAAAATATATCGTAAATTTGGCCATTACCAGGAATTAAACATGGGACCTTCTCAAAAAGTGCCCAACATACTAGTAGGTAGGTCATTGTGAAAGATACATGGTACTCTTATAAGTGTAGTCTTGTAAAGCTTTAGAGCGATACCACACAATGCGTTGCGTCGGCGTTGAGACGACGTTGCGTTGTACTACATATAAATTAAATCGATATGGCACACAGTGCTATAGTATGCCGAAATAATAGCGTTGCGACGACGCAACACTAATGTAGCATCACTATTAAATGGTTTATTAGACCTTTGGGATAGGACATGTAAAAGGCTGTTTTCTGCAAGACAATATTACAGTGCCTATTTTGCAAGTGGTAGAGAACTTTGAGATTTCAGTCATTAAGTAACATGTAAACATTTATTGTACTTTACCTCAAAGCATTCCATTTAGGTTTATCTTCACCCTTGACCTCATTCTTCATTGTTTTTACTTCATCAATTACAACAGACTTTGTCTGTCCCATTAAAGAATCCAAGAAAGTTCTCTTATCAAATTTCTTTAAAATCTTTTCCTTCTTGGATTCAGATAAATCACTCCTTTCCAAGTCTTTTTCTAAAGTTTTCTGTTGGTTTCTTACAGCATTAAACAATTGTACTACACCTTTTGTAGCTATTTTGTTTAATAATCTCTCTCTATCTTTCTCTAGTATGTTTGGTTTCACTCTTATTGATGGTTTATCAAGTTTCTGGAACAAGTAAAAATACTTAACTATGTTAATTTAAGCTTCTGTGATATCCTTTAATTGGCATTGTGTACTCTTGTATGGTCCTGCAAAATAGATGTTTAATGTATGCTGTTGTATGTGTGCAAACTTCTGCATTATTAATCTTTTATTTATTACCTATTGGTCATCTAAAGTTCAATGTACACTACTGCATGAAATCAACAGTTGTAACATTTAATGCGAGGACCTTTGTGATGCAAGATAGAATAGTGGCAGCAATTCATCAGGAGATGGTTTAAAAAACAAAATTGTATTTAGCATGCAAAAAATAAAGCTGTCAAATCTTATTAAGCTGGTGCAGTTTTATCATGATTATTTTAACCAATAGAAACCTTGGTATGACACCAAGACACTATTCACAATAAATTTCAGCTCATTTTGAAGTATGTGATAAGTCTAAAATTAATACAACTATTTTCATTTGGCCATTGTTCTTGAAAACCTAGGCAATGTAATAATAGCCCTCACTATGTGTTACTGTACATTACTGAGCACTGAAAGAATAAAAATAGAACACGATTAATGATCACAACAATAACTCAAAATTATTTTAATGGCTCGGCTAAATCAAAACTGCAAACTAAGTAAGATTACAGAGATTAAGCCATTGACTAACAAATAAATGGACGACGGGTCTAATACAAAAACCACGAAAAAAATGTCCCAAGTCAACCTATTTAAACGTTGTGACATGTAAAGGAATATAAAAAGCTAAAATGTTGAATTTAAATTGTAATGTCATTGCAGTACTGCCTAATATTGCTAGCAACAATTGAAAGGCACAAAAAAAAAACCACCATATTCAGCTTCTACTGGAAACTTACCAAAATGCACCATATGTAGCTTCTAGTGAAAACTACTTGAACACAGGTGTAATGGAGTAGCCTTTATTATTTATAAATAAATTTTATACATAAATGTTGAATTTTTTTGAATTTATACAATGCCATTTATTACGAGGTAGGGTGTCTGACTTTTTTTTCTTGAGTTTCGAAAATTCCCGTACCCGATTTCTCGAGTTATTCGAGAATTTTTTTAAAAACCGTAAAAAATCAGCTCAATCAGCTATAAAACTAAATGTGAACTTTTCGAAAGTTGTTTTGGCCTGGGTGTTCTGAGTTATGCTCCGGAATAAATTCTATCGTTCTTGGTCCCAGGTTCGATTCCCAGTAGAATCAATTTGGGAAATGAACTTTTGTAAATTGGTTCTGCTCTGGAAGTCAGTTGCTCTGATGCGCATGGGGAGTATGTACAGAGAGTTCCCTAGTTTCAAACCAGGTGATTGTCTTACTATAGAATACCAAGACCAGAACCATTTAGAAAAGTTATTTGTTAAATTGAACCTACCGGTATTGAACCCGGGAACCACAGTGCAAATCGTTAGGCTATCAAGGTTGTTAGTATTTGTATTAGCATGCAGTGTTTTTGTTCACTCATTGATGTAATCACATACCAAAGCTTTAATATTATGGTCTTTTATCAAGCTTGCATCAGCTCTGGTTTCCTTTCTTTTCTTACCATTTTCTTAACCCGTTCGTGCATAGTACTGAAATTATACTGCGCTCAAAAATGTCGCCACTTTTCTATATGCCGTAGTGCTTACATTGATTCAATATAATTATTACAGGTTAACACTGACAATGGTTGATTCCGCCAACAGGCATAGTCGTGCTGCTCATAGTTCTTGCAAATGTCTCTTGTGCATGAAAAAGTACTGCTATGACGGTAGAAATAAATGTAGGCCATACATATATTTCTCTCGAAAAACCTAAAAATATACTTTCGGGATCATGGAAATTCATGCAAACATTATTTCAGGCAAATGTGTTTTTGGTCTTCTGTTTCGTAACCCCGAGCCGTAGAAAGAGTACAACAATATTTGAAAGTATTACTAACATATATTAAAAAATATTTTAATAATAACATTAGCATCAAAGCAACTCTATGAAATTTTTGTTCTAAATATTTCAAACGCTTGTGTTTCAAACAATTGAAATTGATGTGATGGGTCTCGTTCAGTCTTTTACGCAAGTAATGAGTCGGAAAGAGATAGTTAGCTATTTGATTATTTTGATTGCTTTTGTAATTTATATTTATGATTAATTTAAATATAAATTAAAAACTATACATGCTAGTGCATAAAATAACACTTAAATGATAAGTATGATAACACAATGTAGTACTTACTGAAAATATGATAAACCACCCTGTTTTTTCACTTTAGTTGATTAATTTCTACAAGGTTTTACTACACAATACAGCATCATTGACAAGCATGCTGTCAGTCAAACAAACGAAGACTAAAGCGTGATTGACGCTCTGTATACGACTTTAACGCCCTGTAAGTTCGGACACTTTTTAGCGCGGACCCGACGTCCATTTATTTGTAAGTCAATGGATTAAACTCAAATATTTTCATTTTTAAGAAAAAAAACATACAATTTTCTTGACAGGAAGTTCTATATCTTCTTTTTTGACTTCATTATCATCCTTCTTCTCTGTAGTATCGCCGATAACTTCAAAACTAGGCTTTTCATTGTGCTCTTTCGTAATAACTTCTGAAAATTTCTTGGCTCTGGATAGCACTAAAGTTTTCTTATTTTTCGGTTTACTCGAACCGAGAATTTTAGCTACAGAGTCTGCCCATCCTTCGTTTTTCATTAACAGATCGTTATCCGACTCATCTTCGTTCATTGAGCTGTCGCTTTCGGCATCTGCATCAAGGTCTTCCGGATTCGATTCAACACCTGATCCATTTTCCTCATTTTCTGACTCGTCCACACTCAATGACTCCGAATCTGATACTATAATACAGAAAAATTACATTCAAATGACACAAAACTACGTTATATTGTAATGACATACAGTAAAAAAACGTTTAACTTTCTTTTGGTACCTGAAACTTTTAGTATTGGTTTAGACATTTCTTCTGCAACCATCATTACGCTATAAATGAGATTTATAAACAGTAAAATACATTAAAACACAATTCACTTTTAGGTAAATAAAAATACACACTGCACGTGTTGGGTTAACCAACTTGACAGTGACAGACAGGTTTTTTTTTCCTTCGTTCCGTTTGGAACAGGCGAAGGTCAGAGACCATACTGCCTAGTCATTATGACAGATAGAGATGTCAATGATGTCAGGATGGAAAAAAAAATAAAAGAAAGAACCGCCCTAACTACGGGATAAACGTGCATACCTAAAAATTGAACGAACAAATGGAGGAATTCCATTCCATTCCAGTACCATAATCTATCGAGAAGTCATTATCGGCATGAAAACAATTAAAGTAGATTAATATTTGGGAATATTTTAGGTTATGTGGGAATATCCGGGAGTGTCCCATGAAATTTGGAATTTATTGTCTTGCGTTTACAAATACTCAAATATAACGAAAAGTGGATTTGCGCAGAAAAAATGATGAATGATGAAAATTATTTGAGATTTGAGAGTACCTATATAAAAAAAGAGAAAACTTTGAAATATAAATCTGGAGATCTCCTATACATTTCTAACCTAACGATTATTATATATATATTTTCATAGATAAATTTTTAAACAGTTTCCAAATAGTATAAGCTTTTTTGTATTAACGCATTGACAAAGAATTAATATGAGTGACTGATTTAAGTGAATCTTTAATACTTCCATTTAATTTTGGAAATAAATGAAATTAAATGGAAGTAGTAATATTATCAATAATAATATTATTATCATACGTTTATTTGCTTAAAACATGGTATAACGGGAGATGTAACAAGAGAGTGTGTAGTATAATAAACATGTTTCGCATATTTTAACCCTTAATCGGATGCGAGCTAATCGGCTAGTAATGATAGGTTTTTCAGTTTATTCTGGTTAAATATAATATAAAGAAGAAACCTAATTTATAAGAAATTAAAAAAAAAATAGTAGGGTTGGTTTTTTTAAGGTGGACAATATGCGACCATTGTCTGATAACTGTGATGAAAAGTGGCAACTATGTGGCCGTTGTCTGAATAGGAAAATAAAACTTCCAGCAATTTTAATGGAAATAAATGTAATACGTAATAATAAAATAATTAAGATTGTTACATGTATTTTTCAGCTAAATGAAACTTTTTAAAACATCCTTTGACGCAGAGAGATACACCACAATATGAACATTTTATATTCGACCTCTTCGTTTCTTTCTTGGTCGAGCAAAACTTGCAACGCTTATGTCTCCTGTGCTTCCGGGAAGTGCACGCCAACACTCTGAAGACGAATTTCGTCTGGCACACCAAAATTTCCACCTTTCTTATTTTTAAAAATAATTGGCCTCTGTTTTTTGCATGTGAAGTCACTAATAAGTGCTCTTGCAAGTCGCAATCTAAAAAGTCGAATCGATATCCGACCAATTTTCTAGAACTTTTATTAGTGCATTGTTAGACAGTGGTCTATTCGATGACATCTTTCCCTGTAAACAATTGAAATTGCTCAATTAAGTAAATAACTATCAAAAACTATAGTAAATGACACAAGATGAAAGATAAACAAATACGAAAAGAACGGACAATGGTCATATATTAGCCACGTACTTTCAACACATTTTTTAGATATAAATTATATTGTAAACTACCGTTTCTGTACCTTCAACACTTAAAAATATCATTAAATCCACAAATAAATCATAATTATTTACTTACCGAAATTTTTCAAGTCACAAATCAAATAATTAAAAAAAAAACGCGGTCAGATTACCGTTTATGAAACTTTTTAACGCCAATTTGAATTTGACATTCATTAGCGCTCTATACTTTTATTTTTTTAGGTTAGTACTGCCAACATGACAAAATAGAACGTTTTTTCTAGTAAAAAAAGAAAGTTATAATGGATGCGTTCAGATTTTACTACTGTAAATAGTTAAACAATTTGACTTATGTAGGTGGCATGTATTCTACCATTGTTTGAATAAGGGTTAAATAGCATGCAAATGTCTGATTATGCAATGTCAATTGACTATAAGATTGACTACTACTACTGGCCGAGTACCTTTGATTTGTGCAGAAAAATCGTCACTTCTCCAAAGTGAGACAAGTGATCACGAGCGACTGCGATTTATGACAAGCCACGTCAAATGAGCTTTATACACGTTAGCGCTCACCGTCACTCGGTCAGCTAGGCGAGAGACTCCGAACGATGGCAAGGCAAGGCAAGGCAAATAGGCTGTCTATATCGACTCATCCGAAGAACAAAGTCCGATGTGATTATATAGCGAAAAGAGGATAAGTACGTTACGAGAATAATTTCCTTATTCAAACTAAGGCCTACGTAAAGGTGTTTTAAGAATTTATATATCTTATTTCATTTCGGAAATATAAAATCGAACAACAGTCGATCTGACATCCACTGCGAAGAAGAACGAACGAAATGTTCTATGTCCTGAGAACAAGTAGTCTTGCAAATAGATCTTTGTTCTACGGATGAGTCGATATGTTAGTATTGGCCTTCACCCAGCAACGCTGGACCAACATGGTCATTGTATGGCTGGCTTTATAAAATAAGAATTTTTAGTAGTTAGAGTTGTCAGTGGGAAAATAGATGAGTCTTGTTTAATCTAAATTAAATATAAAATCATGTACCAATAAACCTAATGATGAAATTGCGTTATTATGTAATCTAGTTACATTCAAAGTTATGTTAAAATTTTACTCTTTAAAATGAAGCGAATAAATAAAGATGGTCTTTGATTCAATGTTTATATTCGGCACTCCTATGATTTCCAACCATTCTTTTTTCTTTTTTAATTTGTAGGTAAACTTGAAATAGTAATAATAATAATAATAATGAAAAAATAAAATCTTGTAGTGAATTATTTTAATAACAGAATGTCGATAATATGTACGCTTAGGAAATGAAACTATTTTTCCGGATTTAAATCGCGTATATTTGTTTTTTCAAACAAACCGACGTTTCGGGCCCTTTACAGGTCCCATGGTCACGGTTGACTGAGGTGGTACAGTCTTCAACCAGTTATGTCTAATATTAACGCAAACCACCCTATTTTTTCACTATAGTTACAATAGTTATTAATTAAATACCTTATTTTTAATTTTACTGCCATCTTACCTTACGTGAGAGGTGTTACAGACAAGATCGGAAGAGTCCTCAGGCGTGCATCCATCAAGACCTATTTCAAGCCCCTGAGTAAGATTACAGTTCCTGATACCCGTGAAATGTAACATCCCCTTACAGGATGCAGGAGTTTACAAGCTTGACTGTGAGTGCGGTCTCTCTTATATTGGACAAACAAAGCGAAGTATTTGTACCCGCGTCAAAGAACATATAGTTGATGTCAAACACCGTCGCGTAAACAAGTCTGCAGTCTGCGAGCATGTCATGGATAAACCTACACATTCAATGAAGTTTGACAAACCGCAGGTCCTTGCAAAAGAAGTCCGTTATCTACCCAGGATGCTGCGAGAGGCCATTGAAATTAAAAAACATCCTAATTTCAACAGGGAAGATGGTTTCTCCGTACCACCAGTTTGGGATCCAGTATTTCCTCTAATGAAAAATCCCAAACAGACATAAGACTGCAGTACTAATTAATATGTTTTAGTTTATTCTAATTTCTATTAATTTAATAATTTTTTTCGGTATTTACGAGGGAGCAGGACAAAAAACTATCTGTCCTTCAAACATCAATAAATGATATCAAAGTCCAAAATAACGAAATTGTAAAATCTCTGGAATTTTTAAGTAGTAGGTACGAGGAATTAAGAGGTGGACGTTTTAGAGCGGGATAGGAGTCAGAATCGGACCTACATTGTCTCACTGGAGAATAAGATAGAGGTGCTGGAACGAAAATTTAGAAATAATTGTATTGAAATTAGCAATGTGCCTAAATTAGTCAAGATCGAATCGCGACATAACCTACGCGACACCTTCAAGAAGATCTCATCAGTCCTTAGCGTTAATGTTGAAGATGTGGATATACGGGACATTTATAGAGTTAACACGAGGAAGGAAAAGGACAAACCAATTATCGTGGATTTCACTACGGCAAAAAAGAGGGAAGATTTATTACAAGGTCTTAGAGCATTTAATAGGATCAACAAAAGTAGTAAGCTAAACACTACCCAAATTGGAATTCAGGGAGCCACAGAGCCTATATATATTTCGGAGTACCTTACTTTTCGTGCTAAAAAACTACACCAGTCTCTTGCAAGAACTTTGCAAAAGCAAATAAATACGATTTTTGTTGGACGCAAAATGGCACTGTTCTCCTCCGAAAAAAGGAGGGCTCACCTACCATAAGAATTGACTCTGAAAGTGATTTACCCCGCACAAATGATAAGTGACTAGATTTAGTTAAAATATTTTATGTATTATACTCGGTGTCCGAAATTTTGTTTGTCACATGTTTGTTTTTTCTGTTGATTTTGAATGTCCATCGGAGCTACTTACAAATGTTCCTTTTGCACATAAATGTAGATCTACACACACAAATTACACTGCTACACATATTACACATCCACAATTTATATTACTCCCACTCATCAAACTTTTACTGTTATGCCCACTATGATTATATGTATAGTAACTCCTCTACTATCTCGAAATCGTACCTATATTACTTTATAATGATAACGTCTCATTCCATGGTAATTTATAATGTATGTTTTATATATATGAACACATTTTTGTGTATTTCTTTTGTCTTATTAAAAAATTACTAATACAAATAATCTATTGACATATATTGATAATACGTTAATTTTTGAATCTTATTTCTGTACTCCTGAAGATTGCGTAAATCTAATCACTCCGACTTCTAAAACGCTCAATTTTATCTCCCAGAATATCCGTAGCATAACTGCTAACATGCCGAGTCTGCTAACACGGAGAGTACCAGTGCATTGCGATTTGATCATTCTCTCTGAGTGCTGGCTATTTCTTAACCCAAATATTCCCACACTACTTGGATATAACGTATCCTCAGGCCACAATCGGGCGGGCTTAGCAGCACCATATCGTCGGCATAGCTTAAGTTATTCACACAAACATCATCAATAAAACACCCAACATGCATGCTGCTGAACTCCTCGACCAGAGAATTGACATATAGGTTAAAAAGCCTTGGTGAGGTAAGTCTACCCTGTATCACTCCGCATTCTAAGGAATATTTGTCAGAGTATGCATTTCCCCACCTTACAACATTAGATTGATTGCCATACCAGTATGAAAATATGCTACAACCTCCGGAGGACTACCGGCGTGCCTTAGTTTTGTCCAAAGCTTATTAATGAAACTAAATCAAAAGCCTTGGACAAATCCAGGAAGCAAGCATACACACACACACACACACATATACACAAACACACACATAATACAACACGCACTCATAGTCAAATATCTTTTACGTGCAAAAAAGTTTTTAAATTTAATTTTAATTTAAGTTTGATCTTTTAGGTGTATATAGTTCAATAATGTCAAATGTATTTTTTTCGCTATTTAAATGTTTTTCTTTCATAAACAATTGATCTTAGTAATACCTTAAGATTGTCATGTATCATTTCCAAGGGTGAGAACCTGGTAACTTGTAGTACAGGCGTTAAGCCTTTAACAAGCACCAGCTCCCAAAAATAAGTTATTGGATGTATCTTAATTACTAAGAACTATATGTACGTATTTTTGTGGAGGAATAAACGTTATTATTATTATTATTACTAATGATAATAATTAATAATAAATTAAACTTAATAAAAATTCATTCAATAAAATAATTTGTTAAACTTAATGTAGCGTAAATTGGAATGTTTTCTTTGTAAAATTAAAAATAAGGTATTTAATTAGTAACTATTGTAACTATAGTGAAAAAATAGGGTGGTTTGCATTAATATTAGACATAACTGGTTGAAGACTGTACCACCTCAGTCAACCGTGACCATGAGACCTGTAAAGGGCTCGAAACGTCATCGTCGGTTTGTTTGAAAAAATAAATATACGCGATTTAAATCCGGAAAAATAGTTTCATTTCCTATATGTAATCACCGCGAAAACCTAAGAACTCGAAATATGTACGCTTCCAAGAACAACACTATCTCAAAATAATCGTTAACAACAATCATCAAAATATACAAACAAACAGGCAATCTAAAGTAACAAAAGCAAAATTTGGCAAGATTTATAAATAAACTACTTAAATAAGTTTAATTACATGAAATATTTGGGCTTTATCGACAAAAAAATAACACATGCCTGTACAATGTAACATTCGATTGATTTGCACTTTTTCTAATTTATGAATAAACTAATTAAATAAGTGAGATATGATTACATGAGATATTTGGGCTTTTCTGTGATTTATGGACAGAAAAATAACACATGCCTGTACAATGTTACATTCGATCGATTTTGGCTTTTTCTAAAGCCACATCCCGTAATACTGAAGCGACGAGTTTTTATTAATACTAATTGTTCTCACTTTCAACATTTTTGTCCATTTTATTACAATACATGCGAGTAATTCAATAAAATACTTGGAAAAACATTTGTTTTGATATTTGGTGTACTTCCCTTTGACAATCGTATCATGAACCTCATGTACTGCGAAATGGGTACAGTTGGCAGATGACGTTACATATTTTCGATTCTCGGGAGATTCTTCGGGAGAATAAAAAAAATAATTCTCCCTCTACGATTATTCAATTATATATACAAAAAGAATAACGATTTCGTTATTCTGTGAGTTGGACCTTTAATAACTTTAAAGTGTTTGTTGCAATCGCCTCTATTGTTCTTATTTATCAGAAAATTTTACAATTGCATCAAAAGACGTGACGTGTGTAACACTGACACTATTTCAGATAAATTATTTATTTTTTCAGGTGGAATAAGGGTGGAATCCAATCCAATGAAACTTGAGCTCGAAACACACAGTGTTGCCAATAATGAAATTATTGTTCAAAACATTACAAAGCGTTTCTTGTAACGAAGAATACTTTTTTACGTCCCTATATTCTTTATAACAGATAATCAACAAAGACTTAAAAACAACATACATTAAATTCATAGAACAGAATTTAACTCTCCCAGACATCTGTTCAGTACATAATTTAAAACGTACGTGAAATAAAATATCGTTAAGTTCTTGGGCGTATGCTTCATTGTTTATCGATTTCCAATATGCTTTGGAACGTAAACTGTTTTTAAAAATAAAATACAGCTGATCGGCAGGGGGACGAAGTTTTATTTCATTCGTTTAGTTTCGTGTCAGAAAATGGTGGTCTCAATCTGAATATGGCGAATATTGCGAGCCCTTTACCGTATCTCACTAAAAGAGAGATAGGGGCTCTGCCAGGTTTGAAGTCACAGTTTTTCAATAAACGTTTGAATGCGGCTAGGAATCTGTACCGTAGAGATTTGGTATGCCATTTTGGATGTGTGAACGCCATCGAGTTTTCGAGCAATGGCGAGTTACTTGTATCAGGTACATTTAAATATTTTGTTATTTTTTACTACATTTCTACGTGATCTGCCTTTTAGTATTTAAAGTAGACTTGTATGTTCTATATTTTATATAAGTAACAACAGTAGCATGTATAAGTTTTTATTGAGATATTTATTTTGACTGATAAGAAGTGTATACTGTAGTCTGAGTGCATATCTGCCACTATATCTTATATATGTATATATACTGTATCTATATCTGCTAGAAGTGAAATATACCTTGATGTTCCTGTAGACACTGTTATATATGAGGAAGGAATTAAATAGGTTTCATGCTGTAATGGTGTTTAGGTACTTACTTACATGTTCATTTCTTTTATTTATTTTCTTTAATAAATAATTCCATTCAGATTTCTTAATCACAAATGTGTAAAATACATAAGCTCACACCCTGGTCCTAAAATATTTTTTTGTTAATATAATTTTTTGTTTATAATGTCCTTTGGTCAATTGTTAATATTATGTAGGTTTACTGGTATACCGGTAACAGCTCAGTTACATAGTAAAACTTGACTAGCCACCAGTTGACGGGGTTAGAAGCGGATCAGTTAGCTAGTGCAATAGTGATGATGATGCTTAAAACTTGCTCAGTAGCCAAATAGTTGTAGATACTGAGACTAGTATCCACTGGGATACTTTCAGCTATTTCATTAGCAAGTATGATTACGTTTACTAACTTACAAGTCCACATGCCAGAAAGTAGCAAGTTAAGTAGCCTGTCTTTCAACTTTCTTACAAATAGTTTACAATCTGCTAGTTAGTAAACAAACATGACTAATACTGCGACGAAAGAGATACAAATTTCCTTTCTTATTTATAAAAATATATTTACATTTACCGTTTTGAAGTAATAATTAATTTGTTCTAATTTTTATAACATTGTCCTTGATGTGTCGGAAGGATGCTTGCCTATAAATAACAAAGCCTTTGTAAACTGATGTTCTTACCTGTACTAATATCACACAAGAAACATTGGATTGTGGGTGATGTGATTCCACATTGTAGTGATTGTGACATTGTGATGCTGGTTTTGCTTGCTAGTTATCTGTATATCGCACATGACAACTAACATGGTATTATCTCAAAATGGCTTTAAGTTATATTAATATTGCCGATTTAGTTTCAGAATGACAGTGTTGTCCTGTCACTTTGAAATTAAATTGTATATGAATAATACACCAATATAGCAAAATTTTGGAGATAAATTATTAATATAATGTAATTTTGAGATAAAATATAATCTTCTTCTTCTTCATCCTGTCCTTATCCCACACTAGGTGGGGTCGGCACAACATTTTGTTTTTTCCACTCTCCCCCATCGGCCGTCATTTTTATACTTACACCTTTCTTACACCGGGTGCTGCGTCTGCGCGTCGCCTGTGGGGTACCGGTACACCCTATCATGGTCACTATTATCCTTGACTCTAGAATACATGTAAAGGGATTTGGGATGGTGTTTTATGACCAGCCGCCTGCCTGATGTTCAACCCTCCTTGGGAGCACCCGGTTAAAAAAATAATATAAAATAAATAAAAGATAGATAAAATATAATATACTGCCTTTCTTTTGGACAAAACATGACAAGAGCAGTTCTGATTAAACTTCTGACAAGAGCAAATGATTCCTCCTGACCTACAATTTGCACAGACAGACAAGAGGGCCAGGATGGCATACAATTTTTTATTTTAGTAACATTGCAATGAATGCCTGGTATAGACAATGTGATATCGTTTTTAATTGGAATTAGTAAAAAAATTGAGTAACTGAAATGAGTCCCAACTCAATAGACTCACACTCAAAGAAGAAAACACAATATTGCCCCTAAATGTATTGTAAAAACAACTTTTGCATCCAGACAATACAAAAACCAATCCAGTAATCTTTATAACCACATTAATAAGCTGCTAAATGTGTATCCATTAATTGCATACGAGTGTAATAGAAGGGTGACTAAATGGTTAAAATCCAAAGATTATAACGAAATTGAAAACATTTTGCAATCCTCGACTTAAGAAAACATACACCCACACACACAACACACATACACACACACACACACACAAACACACACACATGCACGCATGCACACATGTGCACGCGATTCACAATTCAATTTTTATTTTCAACATTCATCCGTACTATCTTTCAATAAGTTATGATATTTTTAAATATTTAATAATCAGTTGACTGTTACCGGTGTGGAGGAGCGGTGACTTCTGACACAAGTATTTGTATACTTAAAAGGAGTTCACCTGCAACAATATGTGTAACCTAGATTAAGTTAAGTCAATAAAGCTTTTTTTTTTTTTTTTTTTTTTTTGTATTCTGTTTTGTCTATAAAATAAAATAATGACTCTCATTAAATAAATTAAATTAAACAGATGGCGCTACGACTAAAAAGTCGTTGAAAGACCAAGTACAAAGACACGACGCAAGCACATAGAAAAATTCGTGAGGTCCGTTGGTCCGTTCCGTGGCTTAGTTGGTATAGCGTCTGGCACGGTATGCAAGAAGACGTCGGTTCGAATCCGACCGGATCGAAGGAATTTTTTCTGAGTGTTCGATCTTTGTATTAATAATTAAATTAAACAGATCGTACTTTGAATAATACAATTTTTTTGCCATAGGAGGGGATGACAGGAGGGTGATGCTATGGCATTTTGGACAGGCCATCCTTGATCATGGCAAACCAGAAGTCATGAAAGCTCTCCACCAGTCCAACATATTTTGTTTGGGAATCACTAATGATAATCAGAAGATTTATTCTGGGGGCAATGATGATATTGTAAGTGAAAGATTTTTTACCTATTTAACCTAATTGTACATTATACTTAGTACGAAACACTTTTTAATCGGCTTCAAAAAAGGGAGGAGGTTTTCAATTCGTCTATGTTTTTTTTTTTGTATGTATGTTACGCGATAACTCCGCCGTTTGTGAACCAATTTTGATGATAATGTTTTTGTTGGAAAGAAGGTACCGCAGATGTGGTCCCATTTGAATTTCAAGAAAATATTCCACCTCGAAAGGTGGCAAACTAGGGGATGAATGACTTTTGAGGTCGGTTTTTTTAACTAGAGGTTAGGTTATATAAGACAAATGTTAGTAATTCAATACAATGCAAACTTGCATTACAATTGTTCACAAGACTGATTCACAATTACTTTGTCTTCCTTCCGTGAACAGGGATACAGAAGAGCTGTATAAAATCATCCCCTTATTGTATAACTATTTAGTTTCTAAAACAGTATCTTTCAGTAATATTGAGTACCATGTTGGGTTTCAGTAATTAATTTACAGCTTTAGTTTAAACAATTTCAGTTGCAACACTCATACAAATTTGTTTAGGTTTAAGAGTGTAAAGTAAAACCGAGTTAATGTTTTTGTAATTATTAAATAAATAAAAAAAAATGACCTTTTTACTGATACTGAGCATTCACAGAGACTGAGAATGATAACTGGTAGACTATTAACAACCAAAGAAACCATTCAAGTGGCAGTTTGTCAACACATTATCTTGTGTACAATTGAAGTGTCCACCCATTCATTTTAATCGAACCTGGAGTATAGGTGAAGACTTGCATAGTCCTAATGTACTTGTTGTTTACAATCAGGTAATTGTCCATGATTTGGAGAGCAAGTGCCCTCTAGAAGTGTTGCAACACCAGCGCGCAGTATGCAGTCTCAGTATCGACCCATTTAACGAACGCGTTGTTGCCACTGCCGGCAACGATGGTCGGTTGCTGCTGTTTGATACTCGGCACTCTGTGCATGGTAAGATAAGAAGACTTCATAAGTATTCTCTGCTACTTTCAGCGAGAATTTGTGAATTTGTGCTCGGGTTCTAATCTATGTCTTCAAATAAGATGTACTTTGCAGAATCACTGATAATATCGCGCAGTCGCAAAGCGTTCCACGGCGTGATGTTCCACCCGCAGCAAATTGGCATGCTGGTTTCAGCCAATGCGCGTGATGGTGTGGCCCTTTGGGACTTGCGTGCGCCTAAACAGTGAGTCTAAGTTTTGTTTTCTAAAGACAAATGTACGCCAATCTAAAGTTTACTCAAATTTCAGTGGCTTGATGCTTTGTTTGATCTTAAGTAGAGCAGGGTTTCTCAACCTTCTATAGCTAGGGACCCCTATGAGATCGAGGTAAAATCTTACAGCTCCCGCTACACCAGCTACCTTGTCTCAAGCTATTTAATTTTCTGTACTATGGAGCTCCAGGGGAACGGGATTCACTCTAACAGGAACAGCCAAACCAGAACCAATTGAGAAAAGTTCAGTTCATTGGGTATCGAACCCTGGACCTCCTCATTCAGCGGAAACAGTGTAAACTTTTGGGCCCCGAGGTCGTCTAGACAAAAAGTAAGACCGGTAGAGTGGAATCGAAGTCGGTCTCTGTTTTTAACCGACTACAAAAAAGGAGGAAGTTCTTAATTCGTCAGTTCTGTTTTTGTATGTATGTTACGCGATAACTCGATTCGTGAACCGATTTTGGTCATTCTTTTTTGTTGGATACTTTGGTGGTGATCCCATTTAAATTTGAAGAAAATATTCCATCTGCAAGGGTGACAAACTAGGGGAAGAATCCGGTTTCACGCACTTTCCGGTAACCGATTTCAAGAAAACTTGGCAAATAGATAATTTCACAAACTTTTGAGGTCGGTTTTTTTACTGAGTACTGAGATTATTAGCATGCCGCGATCAGTGATTAGCAATTACGTCTGCGAACACTGACGTACTAGTTATCTTCCAGGGGTCAATTCACCACCGGGTGAGGGCTCGTACAGCGTGCCGGCGATGTCTCGACTGCGGTCGCATCGACTCGCAACTTCTTACGACTAGTGACGTAATATTACCGACGACCGACCGATATCTTAGTGAATTTTCGAACAATCATAGTACCTACACGGAAAAGGGATATCCATATTATGAAAACTTTTTTTAAGGAAAATTCCGTTTTACGGGTCCGTGCCACAGGAAGGATAAGAAGAAGGAGATTGGATGAATATCTAATTAATATTCTGCGTCGATTACGAACTGCATCAATTAACCTGTCTGGGTCCATTATTATAATTTTAATTACTTATGTAATAATCTAATAATAATAGGAACAGTAATTGATCATCTAGGACTACTACTAGACTCAAGCGACTTACGAAGACTGATCGCTGCAAGTCTCATGGTCGCCGGTCGCGGGCATGCTGCACTAAGCCATTAAGGGTCGAAACACAAAATCGCGAATAGCTGCGATGCGATTTCGTGCGGCAAGGAATCTCACTGCAACGATTTGGTTGGCCATTCTTTCGACGATCATCACCCGTGCTCAACTTATTTTTTAAATAAGGTAGCGACGTGGATCGTAAAAAGAGTGCTGCACAGCTGTTATTGATAAGAAAGTATAGGAAAAAAACCACAAAGAAGATTAACATCGCAGGAATGCGCGATGCGGAGCAATTCGCAAATTCTTGCGATGCGTCGTGTGAGTTCGTAGATTCGCATCGCAGTTTTGTGTTTCGACCCTTAGTTCTACATGTTTTAACAAGTCGCAGCGAGTCTGTGCGACCGCAGTCGCTAAAAATCGCCGGCATGCTGCTCGAACCCTTATAGTATAAAACCAACTAGATCTCGAACTCGAATGTTTCGATATCATATAGGGGTCAGTGGACCCCCGGGTTATAACTGATGTTTTTTCTTGTGAGACCAAGGTATAGAACGAACAAGTCGTGCGCCTGGTGGTAAGCGACACGCCTGTCCATAACAGTCGCAGTGCCGCTCCTCAGAGTTTTGAATCGCAAAGATCTGAGGGGCACTGCTTCTTCGCTCGTCACCCTGAGACATAAGGTTGAAAAGATACATGTGCCTGCAATTTACTCAAACCATTCAAAACTGAAATGCAGTAATGCTCACATTACTGGGGGTCTGCTCGCATTCTCCATCCGAAACAAAAACTGTTAAATTATACTTAATTTAACAGTTTTTGTTTTGGTCGAGTATTACTGTACTCGACCAAATTGAAAAACAGTGTTTGTCGTATGATTTGGTCGATTATTACTTGGCAGCAGAAATAGGTAATGGGGCAATACTTTTCCTAGACGAACTCTTTCACAAGGCTACTACTACTAAATGTAGAGGAATTTCTTATTTTTAACTGACTTCAAAAAAAAGGAAGAGGTTATCAATTCGACTGTATGTTTTTCTTTTTTGTATGTATGTTACGAGATAACTCAGGTATTTGTGAACCGATTTTCAAGATTATTTTTTGTTGGAAAGAGGGTACCTCCATAGTTGCCACATTTCATTTTGAAGAAAATCATCCACCTCTAAGGGTGGCTGATCACGCATGAACGTTCATTTTTATAAATAGCGCCTAAATTTTACTTAAGGAGCAATTATTTTAGTGGTTGGTTTTGCTATTCTCCAATTCAAGGCGTTTTTCTCTCTCAATATACTTTGAGCAGTGAGAACCGATTTTTATTATCTCCTGTGTCAAGTCCCGTATAGTGGCGAACTAAGGGATATTTCAATAAAACTTAGCAAATAGACGCAATTCCACGTATTTTTGAGATCGGTTTTTTTAGTACTCTGTACTGAGATTATCTAGTAATAGTTTAATATTATTTATGTGTGAGACTTTATACAAGCTGCAACTACTAATGATACATAAACTACCTATGTAAGCTGACTCGACGGCGCCCGTAAAACAAATCTGTTATATTGAAGGCCTTCAAAGATGCTCCTCATCAATGTGAGCAAAAGTAATGAGAACCAAGTAGGATTGAGACGTTTTTAGTAGCGTAATTATAATATTTTGTTAGAACAAAGCCAACACTTTGTTCCACATTGTTAGTTTTATAAAGCCTCATCATACTTGATTCGTATTTTTTCAAATATTTGAATTCCTGTATACCAATCGATAAATCAGTTAGAATTTTTGTACTGTATACATCGCGTATATAACCAGAAGTAGAGACGAAATGTCATTTAATTTGTTTGAAAACTATTCTGCCAAATCATCACTGTGAGCACTGCGCTCCGATTGGTGAGCCCAAATTCGAAATAATTACAGGTGTCGTCAATTGTTTCACTTACACGACCAGTTTAACTTGAGCTTTGCTATAATGGACGAAAATTGCAATATTACATATTTATTATCTAATTACCGATGAAATGTGATTCCGTTTGTTTTGTAATTAGATGTTCTGCAGTTTTTCCCACACCACCGAATGGAACAGCCCCCATTATTAGAGATATTATCTTTATTACAATAAATACAGAATAGGGATAGTTAAAAGAATTCGTTAGCGTCTTCAAATGTCTTAATTATAACTTTCAATAAAATAAAATAATTAGGTTTTTCAAATTATAATAGCGGCTATCTATATATCTATAAAAGAAACTCTAAAGACTAAGTAGTACGTAACCGGATTGATATCTATAACTATCAGTTTCTTAACGTTGAGCGACATCTAGCCGCCAATAAAGGAATGTCAGTACTGTCACGAGGGGTATAGCTCTACTGCATTGCGAGAGGTACTTTTATGAATATAAACTGGAATAATTGTTTTTGTTATTGCGTCCAGTATTTGCAGGCTTGAGTTACATTATATTTCTTCCATTGGTAGATTTTTCGTAATTTTTTTTTTCGTAAATTAAAAATAAATTTCGTAATTTCTTATGTGATTTATTGTAAACCGGCGAATTCCACCAACTTGTAACGAGGGGTATAGCTCTGAGTGCATTGCGAGAGGTACTTTTATGAATATAAACTGGACAAATCCTTAAAAATATACTTTATTTCACTTTTTTACATGTTTTGGGTTACAAATCAATAATCTTAATGTCAAGATCTTCCATTCTTTTCTCTTAGTTCTTTTTCAAAGCATTCTAATTATGAATCTATTCACTCAGCCAGTGATTCTACTCATAGAGTACAGCCTAGTCTACAGTACCTACGTTTAGATACAGTCCACATTTAGTTCTCTTTATATCAAATGTACTGATTCGACCGATTTGTAATAAGTTAATAAAAGATTAAATACTTCATTACAAAAAATAAAGTCGATAATGTCTTCTCCAAAGTGCCACGTGAATAAATGGTAATACTGACAAAAAGTTAATAAAATCCCAAAATAGATGGCACGTTTTACAAAAATAAAATTTGTGTCCGGGTTACCAGTGCAATAGTCTATGGTAATTAACTCAGTTTTTTTGTTATGGCTTAACTTCATGCCTTTTAACCATACCAGTAAACAAAAGAATTTCGTCTGAACTTTCATTACGTCACAAACCCACGGCACCATTCAGTTTCTATTAACTTTGTTTAAGGCTTCTGTAGTTTATTTTGATATAATAATACATTGAATATATTTTATTCAATTACGTAACACATTACCTCCAAAACTTCAAACTGGAATCTTTAATTCCTGACTTGTTAGAATAGTAGTAAACCCAAAACAAAATTTGTTCAGGTATTTGAGCTCTCTATTTTCACATATTTTTGATAAGCAAACGTATACAAATTATGTCAACAAAATTTATATGGGAGTTTGCCATTGTTCTTTATTTTTAATTTTTTTTCCGGAAAACTCAACCAAAGAATTCATCCCCTCGAAATTCCCCCCGGGAATCAAAACAATGCCCCCGAGTTTGCAGGGAACCTCCGGAAACCTCCCCTCTGGCTACTGAGTAGTTGTTTTAAGAACAAGTTAGTAAGAGAGGGAGAGCGCATAATGGATGTGGTGTGTGATTTGATTAGTTCCCTCACTCACTGCGCATGCACCGAACTTAATAATAAAATAATTCTTTACTTAATAACAGTGAGGTAACAGCGTGCGTGAGCGTGAATGAAGTGCGAGGAATCCCTTCTACTTTCATTCCCAATTAATAAAAGAAAAAGGTGTTCCCCGCACAAATAATTTTGATTTCACTGTTACGCTTAGATTTTTGCTGTGTCCGAAATATCCGAATTATCCGGACACGCAAAGATGTCGTTTCCGGATAACATATTTGCCGGATATCCGGATATTTCGGCTACTGCCACCTTACCTATTTCTGCCGCCAAGCACGTTTTTCGGTTTTGAAGGGTAAGGGTACTGGTGAAATTACAGGAACATGAGACTTGCAAACTTATATCTTAAGGTGACGGGCGCAGTGGCAGAGCAGTAGCATAAAAAATGACGTTTTCAAGTGTAAAAATATTACCTATGGAATAAATGATTATTTGACTGTGATCTCAGATCTTTACGAGTGGTACTCCGACTGCTATGGACAGGTGTGTTGCTTACCACCAGGCGTATAACTAGTTCGCCCCGTCACTTGGTATAATAAAAAAAATGAAATTACTCTACTGTGCGAATGACGAAATGTCGTCGTTTACATGTTCAGCCCCGTGATACGCTACGTGGGCGGCAACGGCGCGGCGCAAAACTGCATGAGTGCGCGCTTCAATGGCGCGGGCACGCACGTGCTCGCGCTGCGACGTCGTCTCTCGCCTGTGCTTTATGCTGTACAGTCGCCGGAGCCCGTAGCAGAGTTTTATCATCAGGTCTGAGGATTCAAGCCTTCTTTCTTAGGAACTTAGTATTTTACTTACTTCGCTGGCTCAGCGACCCAAAGTGGATCTTGGCCTCTGATACCAAAGTACGCCATCTGTCGGTCTTGTGCCAATTCCGTCCATTCGGACACGTACCTTTAGGTCTTTGGCGACTTTAGACGATGACCCCATAGGTTGCCCCAAATACGTTCTTTTGGCAACTCGATCCTCTTCCATTTTTTACACATGTTCTAGCCAGTGAAGTCGGGTAGATTGCTTTTTTAGAGTTTTACGAATTTTTTTATTTTTTTGACACGCTCACTCATAGCCCCGCACAATTGAAACCCTGTATCGCGGTTACCATGGACATATATAGGTAGACAATCACACTCAAACTCACGAGAGAAATAAATATCAGCCATACAAATATTTCTCCCGGCCCGGGAAACGAACCCGGGACCTCTGCGTGGCCGGCCAGCATGGCAAACATTCCGCCACGGAGGAAGTTAATGACACTTATAAATGACACTCATGTCCACTTGCACGAAATATAAGAACGTCTTTAACCAATACATGCGAAGCGAAAGACACTCTAATAAGAATTAGGTTGAGAGTAGAGGTTTTCTTTTTAAATTTCAAGGATATGAAACATTGAATATGGAGCCACGATTAAAGTAAATAAATTTGGAAACTAAATGAAAATCAAGGTAGCCAAGTAATTATTCATTGTGACGTCACCATAGTGCTGTCGTGTTGCTTTGTGTGACTTCTTTAATGCTAATAATGGAACAATTCCGATTTTATATTCCCACTTAAACTTACTGAAAAAAAAAAATATGAATATCATGGTCGTTAAAACATAATAGATAGATTGATAAAACGTTTATTGTCTTGCATCACAAAATGGAAACAAAAAAAGAAAAATCAAAAGAAAAACACTGAAATTAAAATTAAAGGTAAGGAACACAAACAAACACCAATAAATTAAATTAAAAATGTATAAAAAATAAAACACTAACATAATGATCAACAGCTTATGTCGCACGTGACAACTAACATAGTATTATCTCAAAAATGGCGGCATGTTATATTTTATCTTACAATTGCGTTATATTAATAATTTTTCTCCAAAATTTCGCTATATTGATGAGTCATTCATATACGATTTAATTTCAAAGTGACAGGACAATACTGTCGCTTTGAAACTAAACAGCTAATATTAATATAAATTAAAGCCATTTTGAGATAATACTATGTTAGTTGTCATGTGCGATGTGTGCTGCAGCAAACCAAATACTAATGACTCTGCACGAAATTGCCCAAAACCCAAGCACTGATTTTCAACCAGGGCAATGCGTTGCGGTGCATCAAAAGCAAAGAACATATTGTGTAATTTAAGTAGTGTACGTCGGTGCTAATTTTGATCTGTTATACAGGTTTTTTTTAAAGTTTAACAACCTCGTAGAGCTATATTACTAACATCATAAACAACAATTTTTGTTCCATGACTAATAATTTTTAATTAAAACATAATTTTTTGTTGTACTGTCTGAAACTTTTTAAGTCTATATTTGGTAGTAACTTGTTTAGCAACACCTCCCGCGTGCTTCCTTTTGCTACTGCACAGAGTTATCACCGTTTAGAGAGACCTATTTAAATATTTTTATTTTTGTACGAAAGTAAAATAAAACAAATTATTAATAGTCATGGAACAAAAGTTGTTATTTATGGTGTTAGTAACATAAACAGTCCTACGAGGTTGTTAATATTTTACAAATAAGCCTGTATAGATAAAATGTATATTCAATAAAATAAACATTGCTTACAATATTCTAATTGTAATGCACATAGCATTACAATTACAGCATTTAGAATATTGTAAGCTACCGACGGCCGTACAGAATATATGGTATGTTCAACAGTGAACCTGTTTAATAATAACGCGCACATACTCATAGCCCCACATTGGGGAAACCCGGTATCGCGAGTGCCTTGGACACACATATAGATAATCACATATTACACTCAAACTCACGAGAGAAATAAATGTGGACCATACAAATATTTATCCCAGCCCGAGAATAAGAACCGGGACCTCTGCGTGGCGACCAGCATGGTAACCGTTCGTCCACAGAGGCAGTTTAATTTGCATAATATAATTAATTCTACCAGGACTATTACAATTCATGCACAATGAAAAGCTGTTGCTTCGCCGGCGAAGGAGACCAGTTCGTATTGTCGGGTTCCGACGACTTCAATCTCTACATGTGGAAGGTTCCCGAAGGTGGCATTGGAGGACTGGGTGAGTTTAATTTTTTTATTTAGCCATTTATTTCGGGCCACGTGACCCGTATATGTATATATACGAAGATTGTCATGTATCGGCGATTCCGTGGCCGGTTACCTGACACCAGATTGCGCTACACGTCGCCGACAAGTGCAATTTTATTTTATTGTTATATTATATTGTGTGTGTGTGTGTGTATATACTATATATATATATATATACATATAAAATAAAAAATCTACACGTACTGCACTTGTCGGCGTCGTGTGGTGCCATCTGGTGTCAGGTAACTGGCCATGGAAACGCCGACACATGACAACCTTCCGCCAAAACTCTTCCTTCATGAAGGTCGTTCGGCACTCTCACCACAAACGAATTAAAATTCACGTTGTGGCGGGACTCCATGCGCTCAATCGTCAGGTTGTAATTGGCTTTTACCCTGATATACTCCACTATCTCCTCAGACTTCGTGGAGTAACTAGCTAGCTCGCTCGCTACCTTTAACTCCGTTTATGTACACTAAAATTATTACGAATTATTTCCATGACAATATTAATGATTCTTAAAACAACGTTATCAGTTAGATAATGGGTGTTATGCGCAGTTCTCAATTTAAGTTTACTCGTCTAATTTCAGATACAATAATAGAACCGCCGCACATAGTGCTTTACGGACATCGGTCGATTGTGAACCAAGTGCGGTACAACCCTCACTATTGCCTCATCGCATCCTCTGGCGTCGAGAAGATTATTAAGGTATGTGCTATGTTAAATATTACAGAGCAATTGGTCTTAAGGATAAAATTAATTACCTTTGATATCCAATGCAGCACAAATGACATTTTTCGCGTTGTGCAGAGTATAATGAACTTTATTTCAATTGTGTAACGTACAAACTAAATACGAGTCAAAAACAGGTCGCGCGTCTTCCGGAGAATCCTCGAGCCGTTTAGGAAAATCCCCCAGCTAGCGTATCATATGTAATTTGTACAAAAATAAAAGATATTTATTCGTACCAAAATGTCGTTAACAATAAAGGTGTTATAGTATATTATACCGGCTGATAAAAAACCCACTGACCGTTTTAAAGGAGCATACTGTATAATGGAAATAAAAAATACATATAAATACATAATACATAAATAAACAATACGTTCCGTGGCTTAGTTGGTATAGCGTCTGGCACGGTATGCAAGAAGACGTCGGTTCGAATCCGACCGGATCGAAGGAATTTTTTCTGAGTGTTCGATCTTTGTATTAATAATTAGAAAAAATACATGTTCGGTTTTTTTTCAAATACTCAACGAATAAATTATGACGTCTTAGTTTTTTGAAATATTGTGACCAATATTGACACCCGACGATTAACAGACATCGTTGCTATAGCAACAACAATGGTGTGGGGCAGTGAGCGGAGTTAGCGCGCGAGTTTATGTATTTGACAGACAACAAAGTACAAAACTAATGCTCGATGCGTTAGCGCAGGTCTGTCGTCGCGCGGCGTGACGTATAGACAACTAACTCTGCGCCCGCGCCAGTCGCTCAATTTTATTTATTATTTTGAGGTAACCACGTGTTAGAGATTATTGGAAAATATTAATATCAAAAGTGGGGATTTTTTTGTTTATTTCACTAATGTGTTCTGTTACTGAATCTTATGCACAGGAATAAAATGGACAGCGATTTTTTAACATATTATTATTGTAAATATTTCTTATTTCACTTTTGTTTTAAAGTTAAATTTATACAATAGCATAAATAACAATTACAATTTAATTATAAATTATACAAATGGGACGTCGGAAATATAACAAGCATTAGTTAAATTTTACTTTTTATTTTATCATATTAATATCATCAACATTGTACAAATAGTATTACATGCAAGTAAACATTGTGTAAGTAACAAATTATGCAATTTCATTTTAAATTGTCCACAATTTAATTCATTTGTTAATACAAACATCGTTCTATTGTAAAATTCCAAATTAAGGCGTTCGTACGTTGCAACATTGTCATGAAGTTCATTACGCTATAGTTAAAAAGTTTGCTTATGGTGTGTCTTGAATTACACTCACTGATTTTGTATCCGATTTAGGTATGGTCGGCACTGGAATATCCACATATGCGTGGTTCGCTGCTCGAAGAGGCACAAGGCTCCGACAATCCACGCGAAATATATAGCCACGAGGATTACGTGTCACTTGTACATCACAGTGGACAGGTAAGGTCCTATTGTAAAAGCTTTCTACTACCTTTCGGCGTTCGTGAAACTCGCGTAGTTGGCGCGTATAAAATACACCGTGTGCATAAGCTTTAAATTACGCCAGTTAAGTTTAAATAAATTCAAATAAGTAGCTTAAACAAAAGACTTAACATAATGAGCGAATAATACTACTATAAATTACTTTGTTAACGCGTAACACCATTAGGCGGCAGCGCGATCAAACTCGAATCACGGCGGGATGAGAAAAAAAACGAGGGGAAAATCAAGGATGAATCATCATTCGGCGACATACCTTGCTACAATACGCATTGTTATTTTTTTTAAATATTCAGTCGGAAGTAATCAAAATAATTAATTGAAGATTCCACTATAATATCCAATCAAAGTAAATTAAGGAAACCCCCTACTGGCTGCCTACGGATAAGCATCAACAACTTACACTAAAATATTTTCTTTTAAATGTCTTGTCTCAAAATAATGATAATCAGTTATAAAATAGCATTATAGTGAAAATTCGAAATGTAATAAAAAAAAAATTAATGAAAGAAACTTCTCTCTTTGTTACATTTATATGGAGATAAATAGCTATTCATGGCACAATTCAGCGCCATTATATAGTAACGTACGATGACATATTATGATAAATACACTGTTTAAACATCAAACTCGTTCTTAGCAAACAGCTCGCTAACAGCCTTTGTTGCCGTTCCATCAATGTGCGGTGTGGTATCAACGCCAGGGAGGGGTAGAGAGTGACCTTTCTCCCGTATAACTGTTTTATGTTCATTTATATACAGAGGGCATCAAGCTGCACATTGGCGGATCGTGTTCCGTGTTCGAACAAAAGTGTACAGCTTGATTGCTGTTGACTATACGTATTGATGACAATTACCATTAAAAATGTATATTAAAAAGTAAATTTTCGACAGTTTATTTGCACATTAATCGCTCAAGGCGAAAGACACGGCGTTTGCTTTGAACCATTGTCTTTTTTATTTCTTGACCTTGGACTTGTTGTTGCTGTTTTAGCAACTGTTTCTACTAATGATCTGTGAAACTTTTGTCAATGTTGCCATTTAAAACTCTATTACCACTAATTGTCTATTAAAAGTTTGACGGCATTAAGCTAGAAAGATAAAAATATGAATACTCAAAAAATTGTCTACTCGGCTCCCCTCATCAGGTTCTAATTTATACTCATTTTTTTGCAATTGGTTGTGTTAGATTAATTGCCGTGTATGTAATTATTTGACTTAGGTTGATTTGACTAGATTGACTTAGTTAAATTTTTATTGAATTGATATTCAATTATTTTTTGTGAAATTACTCCACTAGTTTGTTATAATTATTAATACAAAGATCGAACACTCAGAAAAAATTCCTTCGATTGACTTAGGTTGTGAACTAATTTTGGCAGAACTACAACTTCTGTCCAATAGTTCACTTGGAACTACTGAAATTCATTCGATAGGATCAGGTTTTCAAATAAATGTTGCAGTACATCTCCCACAACTACGCAGAGCAGTCAACGAGCGAGGACCCGCGAATGATGGCATTTTTCGATTCGCTCGTCCAGCGTGAGTTGGAATGTCTGGCTGAGGAAACAGACTCCCTCGACGGATCAAGCTCCGGTGGGTCTGTGCTTGGGAGTGATAGCGATTCGTCTGACAGCGACCAGATTGTTGCTGACTTTTTGCCTTTGCCACCTAAAAGAGGTAAAGTGTTTTATCCTACTTCTATCTTACAAACTTTTATGTCTCCTAAACAATGATCGGAAAAAGGTGTTCCACATACATAGATGTATGTATAAATATAGCTACAAGGAGTGATATAGAGTTGTTAAAACCACCAATTCATTACTTTTTCGAATTCCTGATTTCCGGAAATGGATTTACTGCATAGTTCGAAGGACGAAACTACTCATCTAGGAAGTCAAAGTTGGATTTTAAAGTAATTCTAGCGGCGCCATGTAAAAACATGCAGTAAGTAACAGATTTTTCATTACATACAGTTATGGTCATAGAATGAAGAACGATTAATGACACAAAGCCATTATTATTTTGCAATAGCCGTTAAATGTAGAATTAATTTAAAAATATGCTCTAATAGTGTTAAACAATATTGTCTGGATCGACCTATATTTATTTTTATTATTTAAACAAAATTATATTTAGGGTGTTACGGGGGAAGTTCTAAATAAAAGAAGGAACTACTCTTGTAAACAAATTTATTTGGGCGCGGTTCGTTTAAAACCCAACGGTTATTCACTGTACTTTTTGCCTTCCTACGACCAGCAGCTGGTATTCCCCTGGCTGTTCCGCCGAAGTAACGTCCGGGGTTGGATGAACCGGAACAAGACCGAATCCGTCCGCCGAAATGAAGTCCGGGGTGCGGGTTGACAGCCGTCCACCGAATAGACGTCCGGGATTGGATGAACCGGAACAGGGTCGGATCTGTCCGCCGAAATGAATTCCGGGGTGCGGGTTGACAGCTGTCTGCCGAATAGACGTCCGGTGCATCTGTTCCCACTAGCAAGGTTAATAATGGTCTTGTTAAATTGCCCGGTTATATTACGAAACTAATAAAATATAAAAATAGGCTACGTCGTTTGGACAATTGTTTACCCAATGGAGCCTATAAAAGGTTACAAGGACTAATAGTAGCGAATATTAAACAGCACTCCGACAAACTTTGGAATGACAAGCTTGCCAAAATAGATTACGCCAGTGCATACCTGTGGCGTGTAGCTAAAAGTCTCAAATGTAAATCTCGCGATATACCACCTCTTAGGAATCCCGATGGCACAGTTGCTACCTCTACTAGTCAGCAATGTGATAGCCTCGCCTCTGCATTCCACGACAATATGTGTCTCATGTTAAATTGGCCCAGTACTGACCTGGATGTTGCTGTGCGGAATTCCCTTTCAACACTTGACAACCATTTAATTACAAATCTTCAGCATCCTGTCAGACCGTTGGAAATTCGCATCGTACTTAAGAGCCTTAAAACTCGTAAATCACCTGGCGATGACGGCATCTATAATATCTTACTGAAAAACCTGTCACAAAAATTGGTTGTATATGTTACTAAATTATTTAATGGTTGCTTACTTTTGGGATACTTTCCTAAGCAGTGGAAGACGGCCAAAGTAATTGCTCTCAAGAAACCTGGTAAGGATTACAAATTACCCATTAGTTACCGCCCTATTAGCTTGCTGCCGTGTCTTGGTAAATTGTTTGAAAAAATAATTTATCGCCGTCTACTGTCTGTTTCTGATAAGTGTATTATGAATGAGCAATTCGGTTTCCGCACGGCTCACTCCACCGTACAGCAGCTCGCTAGTCTCTGAACATGTCTCTCATAATCTTAACCTACGACAATCTACTGGTATGGTCCTACTGGATATCGAAAAGGCGTTTGATAGTGTTTGGCATGAGGGGTTACTTCACAAACTGGTAATCTTAAATGTACCTCTAAGCCTAGTCAAACTTATCAGATCTTACCTTCTTGATCGAGAATTCAGGGTCCATATTGGAGAACACAAATCATCCGGTCAAGCTGTGCCTGCGGGAGTTCCTCAGAGATCAATTTTGGGACCTATCCTATTCCTTTTCTACCTTAATGACATACCTGTCCAAGTTAGGACCAGTGTGGCGTGCTTTGCGGATGACACCGCTTCATATACATCGTCTTTCGACGTAGACCTAATAATAGGACGCTTACAGCTATCTCTAGATCTGCTCCATGCCTATTTCACCAAATGGAAGCTGAAACTAAATGAAGCAAAGACCGAGGCCTTACTATTCACTCGACAGCGTAAACCCCCTAAAAGAATGCTTACCATTGGTGGTCATAAAATCTCGTGGAGTGATTCCGTCAAATATTTAGGCGTGATCTTAGACAATAAGCTTAATTGGTCTAAGCACGTTGCGAACCTGCGTGTCAAAGGAGCCCCAGCTATTGGAGCCCTGAATCCAATTTTAAACCGTAGAAGCAACCTGAGCCCACGGACGAAATTGAGAATTTACAGTGCTCTTGTGAGACCTTGCATAACTTATGCCTGCCCCGTATGGAGTAGTACTTGTATAACTAACTATCAAACTCTCCAGGTATTACAAAATAAATGTTTAAAAATAGCATTCAATACTCCTTACAAAACTAATCTTATCACCCTACACTCTATAATTAAATTTCCATTGCTAATGAACTTCATACTAAAAATCACACGTAAATTTTACGCAAAAAATTTCGTCTACAATAATCCATTAATATCATATATTTGTACCACTAAAATTACTAACCTGCCTTACATCGATAGATACGGCACATATTGCTTACCCCATCACTACTTTTGTTTCCTCCGTCTGTCAACAATAGTTGCTATAAGTATGCGCATGACCAGGTTGAAGAGACACAAGCGCCGGTCCGCCGGCCCCGCTAGCGCCCTGCAGTGCATGAGCGCGGGGGCTGCGGGACGGTTCTCGTCGCTTACTTTATACTGGTCGTAATTCGATCGCTGAGCTCGGCAAATAATTTTATTTGCACTCTACCTTATATTTGTTTGTATTAAATTATAACAAATGAAAATATGAAAAGAATTAATAGGTTATAAGTGATCAATTACAATGATTCACACTACAATCCTAGTTTTACGATTACGTCTTGTAATTACCGTACTTAAGCATGTATGACGTAATAAGACATATTTAAAAGATGTGTTTAAACTTTGATAGGTGTATTTAGCCTCATAAAGTGTTTAAAATTTGATGTTGTAATGTGTAATTTAGTCTTTACATATGTAACTTACTTACTTAAATAAAGAATTTTAAAAACAAACAAAACTTTAAAATCCAATTTTGACTTACATCGTACAATGCAGTAAAACCATTTCCGGAAATCCGGAATCCGAAAAAGTATTGAATTGAATTTTGGTGGTTTTAACAACCAAATTGGTTTGTCGCTATATCTATACATGTATCTATAGATTTGGAACACCTTTTTCCGACCTGTATAAACCACGTGCCTATTTTCCTCGTTTTACGTAAGAGGGTACCTCAGATGTGGTCCCATTTAAATTTGAAGAAAATATTCCACTATTCCACTATTCGAGTGGCAAACTAGGGGATGAATGACTTTTGAGGTCAGTTTTTTAGTGCTCTGTTCTGTTTTGTTATTCAGAATTACGATCTGTAGTATGGAGATTAGCAGTCCTCTTGAGACAGTGTTAAATGGTTTTATACATATATTTAACCGAATATCTTGGTTGTTATGAAATGTTTAATTCATAAGTAATTTACATGTCTATTTTAAGAAAGTATTATGTGTGTACATTGGTATTCTCTGTGTAACGTGAATTATTCTGTTTATTGAAAGCTATATTTTGATCACGATGTGACGTGATCGTGATCGTGATCGTGATCGTGATCGTGATCGTGATCGTGATCGTGACGTGACGTGACGTGACGTGACGTGACGTGACGTGACGTGTGATGAACCCATTTAGAGTTCCACTTGTGAAACCCATTAAAGTCACCTTTTTTTTGCTGACATTGAGCCCTTGCAGAGAGGATTGCCCCAAACCATCGAATATATAACCAGAAATAGACACGAAATATGGGCCATTCATCCCTGGCAACTCATCAGGCAAATGGGCCTTATTCACTTTTAAATATTAACTCTCGTTTGCGTTGAAATATAGCAATGGGAAAAATAGCAAAACGTTTAATTACAAAACAAACGATATTTCGTTATTACATTTCATCGGTAATTAAATATTAAATTTGTAATTTTTCAATTTTCGTTCATTATAGCAAAGCTCAAGTTTAACTAGTCGATTTGAAGTGAAACAATTGACGACACTCGTCAATTGTTTCGAATTCGGACTGGCCAATCGGAGCGCAGTTGTTACCGTAATGATTTGGCAGAATAATTTTCAAACAAATTAAATGACATTTCGTCTCTATTTCTAGTTGTATACTCGATGTCCTAAACCCAACAGTGTTATTTATGTATGTGGTTAAATACAGTAATTTATTAAAAGAATTTTATTTAAAACCTGATTTATGTTCAACAAAAAAGTAATTTTTTAAACCACTTTAAACTTAATTTATATATAGGAAATGGATTTAAATAGGTACACATTGTTATTGTTCTTTAGACTCAATTAGCGTAAAGGACAAAATACAACTTTTCAGGAAAAGTAAAAAGCGCGTAACTGTTATCTTTAAAAAAAAAGTGTTGCAACTTTTTTCTTGACCATAACTTTTGATATTTCTGAGAAAAATCTAACTATTCTTCGTTCTATAGCGTAGGAAAGTTACTATTACGAACAAACCTGTATTTTAGTAGTTTTTTACACTGTTTTAAATTAACATTATTTTTCCTCCAACTCCAGACTGACATTCAAGGTTAGCCCCGAGTAAATTAAATTCGACTCGCATGCAATGTTAATTCGACACATTTAATAATGTATTTGTTGCAAATTAGTTAGGTATTGTTGTGTAATAATCAACAAAATAAACATCTGATATACAACATTTTTTTTGTTATATTATTATTTCTATTTTAGCAAATCCAAACGGAAACAGAAGCCAAAGGTGTCCAAACAGACTTGCACGGTTAGTAGCGTCGCGTTATAACAAAAATCTACGCTCGCAGAAAAGGGGATCCCTTAGGTATGTATCATATGCCTTTAAAATTCATGAGTAAATGTATAATCATGTTAAAACCATTTATTCTTTATTTTTTAATCATGACATCAAGTGATGAACGAACTTATAATGACCAAATTGAGGACATCGTAGAATGCTCAGGTCAAGAATACCTTTTTTCTCCGGGGGAAAAAATCTGTCATGGATACCACCGCGTTAAGGGAAGGCGCGAAGGTTATGGGAGACTGCTGCTCACTAAAATCCCTCGGTTATTCTCATAGCTTACGTACATAGGCTACGGCCACGTGGTTTACGATCCACGGCCCCGTCCGAGGTCGTCCGCCACCGCAGATTCACCTCTGGGGGGATATCACCACTTTTTTTTAGTAGTAGAGCTCCTTGTGAGAGTTTGTCCAGGGAAGTACTGCCTTACCTATTTCAGCCGCCAAGCAGCAATGTGAGCATTATTGTGTTCCGGTAAAGGTGCTGGTGAAATTACAGGCACATGGGACTTGTCAACTTATGTCTCAGGGTGACGGGTACAGTGGGCTGTAAGATCTTTGCAATTAAAAGCACTGAGTGGCACTGCAACTGTTATGGATAGGCGCGTCGCTTACCAACAGGCGCACGACTTGTTCGTCCTGTCACGACGTGTCGCTTGGTATTATAAAAAAAATCTCCCCGCCATAGATACCGGCATGCCGGGAATATCTTATCCAGTGAACACTTATCCAGTAGGTCCAAAAACGGTGGCTTTTGTTCAGGGTTCACTGTCAAGGCGGCAGTTGGCGGGTATAGTCAAACCTGCAGGTCAAGAAAATACCCTTAGTCAACCAGCATGTAAAAAAGAAAAGGTTTGGTTTTGATGAGGAGAAAGATGTGTGTCAGGGCCGTAGCAAGTGGAAAGCTGTTGTCTGCCAATCTCGTTCGGAAAAGGGTGTGAAGTGTATGTTTGTATGTATGCATTAAGTGACGAAACCAGCGAGTCGTGCGCGTGGTGATAAGCGAGTCGTGCGCGTGGTGATAAGCGACACGCCTGTCCATGACAGTTGCAGTGCCACTCAGGGCTTTAAATCGCAAAAACCTTGAGAGCATTGCCCCTGCACACGCCACCCTGAGACGTAGGGCGCGTTCCCATTGTGTCGTAACATTTTAATTATCGTTGGACGACTGTCAGGCTAGAGCCTGTTCCCATATCACGACACATCTGTCGTGACTGTGTCGTAGACGTTTATTTTATCGTTGAACAACTGTCGTGTCTAGCTGTTCCCACTAGATCGTGACGACAATTTATCGGTTCACGGCAGCCACTTGTCGTTTGCACGATTCTGTCTCGTTTGAAGCTGCGATTATCTGTCCTCACATTTTTATCATGTCGTTTTAATTATCGTCAGGCGACTGTCGTTCTAGCTCCTTCCATTTTCACGACAGTCTGTCGTCGGAACGTCAAAAAAGTCGTAAACGGCCATTGACCTACCAATATAGGTCAACGTAAACAGCAGTTAATCGTGTTGTTCTATGTGTGAACAACTTCATTTTAATATACAAGCCACGACACTTTAAACTGCACGACTATCTGTCATAACATTAAGGGAACGCGCCCGTAGAGTTGACAAAGGTCCTGTGTGCTTCTAGTTTCACCATCCCCAGAACATCTTTTAATACGAGAGAACAGTTATTAATGCTCAAATTAGAGCTTTGGCAGCAGAGGTAATAATTCCCTAGACGAAATCTTTTACAAGCTCTTCTACTTCTATTAAATCATCGGCTTATTGCAAGAAGTCATTAATTGCCATAAGCCGACGAAATATACTACTACATTGTTGGATGCAAGCAGTCGACGACCGTACCGAATGTATGTATGCTATGTTCAAGAGTGAACCTGTTTAATAATAATGCGCACACACTCATAGCACCACTAGGGAAACCCTGTATCGTGAGTGCCATGAACACACACATACAACCACAAAACTCACGAGAGAAATAAATGTGGGCCATACAACTTCTTCTCCCGGCCCAGTATGGTAACCGTTCGGTCACGGAGGTAGGTAGTTATGTGACGAATGTATATGACGGTAATGACATCAACAACTCACCGTTAAATAATGCTCAACAAACACAGTTGTCGTTATAAACTATCATTGCTTCTTATCCTATCGATACCATACGCTAAAATGCTTGCCATTGTGGTGAAGTATTTGCCAATCAGCGTAAGGTATTGCCGATTGTTGCCCAGAATGCGCCAGACGTACGGAAATGAATGGTACGTCGTATAGGGTGCACGAAAGGAGCCTCTCCTTTCGTGCACCCCTTGGTACGATGATGTTAAAGAGTATAAAAATCTATACTTTTTACTTTTGCGTTACTTGACATTTGCAATTTATGTTTTAGGCGTAGCAAACAATCTCGGACATTCCTAAGCAAGTCAAGCGGTAAATGCGTGTCAGGGACTAGCGCTAAGGGTAAGCGCACACCTGTTCGGCGCACGCGCGGTCCACGCCGGCCGACGCCGCGCACGCCGCTGCCGGCCGCTGCTGTTTCGCGGCACTCGCGCATCAGCGCACCCTCTAGTGAAAGAACGGATTCAGATGAACCCGCACACTGCTTGTTTAGGAACTCCGGAAGAGTAAGTTTTTTTAGTTTATTTTGGTCTAGTAATGAAACTGTTTTTCGGACCTAATTCGCGTATATTTGTTTTGACTGAATGTGACAGTGGAATGGAAAGGGTTCGAAACGTTGTTTTGTTAAAAAAAAACAACAGTTTTCATATGATTTTAAACAGTCATGTTGTCGAGAGTTTTATCGAGGATTATGAAAAAAGGTATTTTTGCCAAAAAGTCTGAATTGTGTATGTTATGACTTTGTAATGATTTCTAATTACGTTATTGCCTTCTTTATCCTCATTTTGACAATTTGTTCTACTAGTATCGAAATAAATTTTTATTCATATATAGTCTGCCTTTTTTGAAGCCGGAATAAAATGACAGTTCATTTCGCAAATGTATTTATTACCCATTTGCGAGCAGCTAGTGATTGCAGTCGATAAATATTCTATCGACTATCGACTGGATATTGGTCACACTTATTTAAATAGCCGAACTTTTTTCATTTGAATTATCCTCGACCCATTATTCATCCAATTACTGAGCACAAGTTAATTTGAATTGTCAATTTTTGTAAGTTATTTTGTTAGTAATTATATTATAGTTAGAGCTATGTTTAAAAGAGGAGTCATATTTTGAAATTTTTTAAATGAATTCAATATAGACAATCAAATCCGGCTATTCTTGTTAAAATATATATGTATAAAAATTTACCTCGGTATTTGTAGTCAACTGTCAAAATAAGAATAAAAAATGCAATATCGCAATTAGAACGTAGTAACATTCACAATTCAGTCATTTGTGGCAAAATTTTATCTTCATTCACAATTTATCGAAAGAACTATCGACAACGACTACATAACTATTTAAAATTTTATGAAAACTGGCAACCCTACAAATGTCATTTTACTCCGTCTTCGAAAAAAACAGACTACATTTTTATGAGAACAGGCAGATTTGATTATTTATATTGAATTAAAATAAAAAAGTAAGACTTTATATTTTTAATAGACATACTTCTAAATGCAGCACTGTATGTGTGTATGAACTTAAATTGACAATAGTCAGGTGAACCTGTGCCCAGCAGACGAATAATTCAAATGAAAAAAGTTTGGCTATTTATTACATAAGCATAACCTACAGTCAGTCGATATAATATTTATCGATTGCTATCACTAGCTGCTTGCAAGCAGGCAACACTTTTGCGTAATAAACTATAATTTTCAATCATAGAAATGAACATAATATAGAAATAAACCATTTTTTTATAAAAATTTTACTGAAGTATCATAATGTTTGTGACAAGAGGTCCGTAAATAATTTGTCATCAGTATCTCAGTGATGTTTTTTTTAAATTTTCAGATTATAAGACCTCTTCGCCGGCGAATAAATCTTACAAGATCTGCGAAGCGGAAAAGTAAAGTCACTAGCTATAGGAAGGTTATGAATTTAAGAAGCAATGGTAAGCCGCATAGGATTAATTCACAGTTAATGAGTGTTTTTTTTAAATAATATCTAGTGACGGGACGAACAAGTCGTGCGCCTGATGGTAAGCTACACGCCTGTCCATTACAGTTGCAGTGCCACTCAGAGCTTTAAATCGCAAAGTTCTGAGGGGCACTGCCACTGCGCCCGTCACCCTGAGACATAAGTTGACAACCAGCACCCTTGCTCTTCGAAACCGGAACGCAATAACGCTCACAATACTGCTTGGCGGCTGAAATAGGTGAGGCAGTACTTCCCTGGACGAACACTTTCACAAGGAGCTCTACTGCTAAATTATTGCATATTATCGTAATTGCAATATAATCTCAGTGGAGTGTCGATGGAATTGCAATGACGAGTGGTTTCATGAAATTTAGCAGACTTGGGGCCCTGGTCACGGGCTGACTGTCGTCGGGATAATAAGTAGGTGTGCAAATACCTCTTACTAGTGTGTTGGGTCATGGACAAATTTCCATTTTGAAGAAAATCATATTTTTTGGAAAAAAATAATGTTTTTCCTATATTTTTCCTTTAATTTACCATATTTGAAAAAAATGTTGAAATTTTTCGGAAAATTACCCAACTTTGTTCCATCGCATCCCTGTTTTGTACTGTTAAGTGTTTGTAATTTCTATTTTTATTTAATAGGTAATGTGATGGCTCAAGACAGTAATGACAACAACAACTTTAATAATTTTGACAATTTCGATGATAATTTAGCCCAGCCGAGCACTAGCACAGGTAATTTTCATTTTTCTTGTTATCTTTGTATGTATACATATTAAAAGTTAATTAATAATATAATAATTATTTATTTATTTTCTCTCCACATACAAGTTAAATTAACGTAAATGCTTACTGATTGAATCACCTGAGAGTCTAATTTTCCTTGCAGGGTACAGAGGCCAAAGCACATCAGCTCTATTCCGGATAGCAGAAGTGGACTCAGATGACGACCAATCAGTGGGCAGCCGGCCCATATCGCCGCGGAATCTGAACACCAATCAGATACCTCCAAATCTCATCAGCATCATTCCTACACCAATCAACGGCTCCCGCGACTCACTCGGCGATTCACTAAGAGTTGAACCTGCTGAATCGGAGAGTAACCATTCGTCCCCGCCACCAGATACAAGGCCACGAATGAATTTGAGACGCGTCAGAAGGAATGGCAGGCTCAGTCTGCATCGTTCAGATTCAAGTGAATCACCGCCTCCGAAAGAGCCTTCAGCAAGTACTTCCGCAGCAGAACGGTTGTCGCCTATTGTCGGGTATAATAGAACAGTGGCTAGGCTCATGAACGAAACTAATGAAAGTGAGTTGGAGAGCAGTTGCAGTACAGAAGGCAGGCCTGCTCCTGACGCAATGGGCACTCCGGACAGTGGAGTAGGTACTGTCGCAGGTAGCAGCACAAGAACACAACCGCCTATAGATGATGTCTCAGATGATCCAGATTACCAAGCGCTAAAGTTCCGACAGCGAGTTAAAAAGGCCCGGCGAAACTACAGAAATCACATGGACTCCGATTCCAATTGAACTGAATAGGTTATTTTAGCTGTGTTCTATCTACATATGATACTCTAGTTGTTCTATAAGTGGCGACTAATCTATCAACGACTGCATATTTTGCTATTTGTAAGACTTGATGTTTATTAATGTGCTAAAAATATAAACTTTGTGCGTTCGGACGAATATTTACGATTGATCTCTACGTTTATCTAAAGTCGTTGAGCATTGGTTCGAACACTGGTTCAAGGAGAACTTGAACATGATTAAATGGCACATATTTGATGTTTGTTATTTGTTCGTGCAGACGAATTGTCTAAATGTAACTGATTTTTGATCGTCAATTCGGCCCTAACGTACATACTATTAAAATGTCAATCGACATTTGTAAGTCATTCAGTCCATATTATTAAAATTGATCGCCTTTAAATTGTATCTAGATTGATTGATATGTGTATATTATGTGTGCTGTCATAGTACTATTTTCTAAAGTCAGCCTAAGTTGGTCCTCTTCGAAAAGTCATTTGAGTTCTACGAAAGCAGACGAGTTATTTATAATTATTATTAGTATTTGTTATTAAGAAACTTTAATGTCGTGAGACACCAATTACTAACTAACACAAATATATTATTAGTAAAAATTTCAATTGACTAGTAATTAAATACGGTAACGATGTTGTACATTTTTTAAAGAAAAAGACTAAACCAAATAAAAAACGTCATTGAGCCATGCGTAATATGCATTGTATGTCTAAACGGTTAAGGTACATTTATAATTGCAACAGCGAACTGACTAGCCAGGAAATAATTAAGTCAAATAATGCATTAATAGAGCCATCGTCCATTTCCGTAAAAAACGAATAGCTCCGAAGCTCCAATTGTAGAAAACAATATTGCAAGTCTGTTATACTCGTCAGAGTGTAAGAAATAACGGCAGACGCCGGTTGTTTTTTTGTTAAAAGCGACCATAGTAACTGTTGACATGGTTTCATTCAGTTACTCTCTAGTTTTACTTGCATTAAAATCACAAGTGTATGTTAAGTCAGAATATTTTATTATTCTTACCTGTAGTACAGATTGGTAGTAATATTGGGAAAAGTTTCACATGGCTCATTCCCACATGGTATGACATAATATAATTCAGCCATATAATTTTAAATGGAGTATGTACAATCGTGTTTAAAGTCATGTATTTACTTCTGTCAGCAACTCATTTACTGCGTATGTAATAAGCTCTACACACCAAGAATGGCGCGCGTGTCGGGTTCCCACATAAATTCGACCTCGCGCTTAAACTTTAGGAAGGAAACTAAGTGTCAGGGGCTCGTAAGACAGATAGTCCTTTTTGCTTTTTTATACTTTATATTTTAAAGATGTATGATGGATGTATGTGATTTATTACGATATGAATAACTTAGATTTAAGAACTATCGATGTTCCCCGAAGTGGTTGATAGAAAATATGTCGGCAAATAAAAATTTTAAAATTATTCATTTTTATTAAGGATGCCCCAAAAACAGAAGTTTATTGAACACTATTCACACATACACCACACACATACACACCCACATACAGTGTGCTTAGATATGTATATATAGTAGAGATGCCACGAATATTCGGCTACTATTCGGATTCGAATATCAAATAATGAAAAAAGCACATTATTCTTCAACATGTATCATGTATTTTAATCATAAATTATTGCTTTCATACTTAAAATCAAACAGTGGCAGGTTGTGATGAATGAATTGGTTGGTGGAACAGCATTGGTTGGTAACAAACAATTGCGCTTTTCCTCATAAACAATTACTTCTGAAGATAGCTTCTCACTATAAACACTACTGCCAGGAAACCATAGATAAATCTTAGCAAATTTTGAAAGGGTTGGATACTGCTTTGCGTTTGCTGACCACCACTTGTAAGGATCTAGGCGAACAGTTTTCAAATAACAATCAATCTCATGTGCAAAAGAACTTCTCCACATCCTTATCATGTTGCATATTATCTGTAGCGACTTCTTCAAAACAGGCCCAGAAACTGTCGTATTGATTCTATCGTTCTATCATTTTTCAATAAAAATACTCCATCCCCGTGACATCCGCACGCAGCGCCATGAAACAGGTCGCGCGTGAAATGCAGAGATTTTACGCCGAACATTCGGCAGCCGGATATTCGGCCGAGAGCGTGGCCGAACATTCGGCAGCCGGATATTCGGCCGAGAGCGTGGCCGAACATTCGGCAGCCGGATATTCGGCCGAGAGCGTGGCCGAATATTCGGTATTCGGCCAAATCACTATTCGTGGCATATATAGTAAAGATGTTAATATATAGTAAAGATGAATATAAAAATCTTTTCTTGTGTCTTGTTTACTGTTGGGTAATTTTCCGAAATAAGGAAAATAGTGAATTTGCAAAAAAAATTCGAAAATATAATTCGAAGGCTCAATATGAGCCTTCGAATTATATTTTCCATAATTATATTTTACGATGTTCTACATTTAGATATATATTTTAAAGTTTTATTTATCATGAATTATAAAATAAAATTGTGTCTAAAAACGAGAGTTAACATGATTGGGGAACAGCGAACAAGCCACACCGCGAACGAAACTTAAGGTAACTTGGCTCACGTAGCCGTGGGCCGTATCTTTTCATACTTTGGTTCACACCGCGAACTGAGCGAACTAACCCAAAGATGCTACTAGCTATGTGAAATATTGTCGCCCTCTGCCGCCCTTCACCCCACACGTATCCATAGTCATTACCTACTACGTATTTTCTTCGCTTAGCTTTGCATGCAACTACGTGAGCTAAACTACCTATCATAGCTTCTAGAGGTGGGCGTTTAAACGAAAAGCACTTTAAAAAATCTGCTTTTTAAAATAAGCGCATAAGCACGCTTTTCATTTTAAGCGTAAGCGTTGATCACTGGTCAGTTCTATAGGTACTCAACAATTTCATTTTTTACAACGGGCCTAAAGTTTCATGTAGCATCATCTGTTTCCTAAACAAATTTATTCAACACTTTTGAGTATGATTTAAAGCACTAGAATTTATACTCAAATCTTTGCGTTTAGGGTCCGACCGTGCTTAAAATAATACTCAAATCCTGACATGAGCAATGAGTAGAGTTCTGGAATACGACCCGTAGTATCTCTTATTAGTTTGAGATTCAACATAACGTTGCAAGCTTTTTTAAACAAAGTCTGTGCGCTTAACCGTTTTTCTAAACGACTTTTTAAGCGTCAAACTAAAAAGCGCTTTTACAGGCAAGCTTTTTAAACGTACGTTTTAGCGTTAAAAAAATAAGCAGTTTTTTCCATTTCAACGGTTAACAACTACAAAAGTTAACCAACTTATGTTTTTGCACGCTTTTAAACGCCAATGAAAAAAATGTTATATAATATAATAATGTTATGTCATAAATAAAAATATAACTCGTTTTTTACAAAAAACTTATCTTAAAACCTGTGGTGTACACTTGCGTTTCGCTATCAACACACAGTTGCAAGCTTTTTTTAGCATAAAAGTCTATGCGCTTAAACATTTTCTAAACGATTTTGTTAGCTTCAAACTAAAAACCGTTTAAGTGAAAAAGCGTTTAAAAAAGCACGTTTTTTTTAAAAAAAGCATAACGTTGAAACGTTTAAAAAAATAAGCAGTTTTTCCCATCTCTAATAGCTTCGTTCCCTATGTTGCCTACGCTAAAAACTAGGATCATTCTTTATCTATCGTTTTCGTTCAGTATTTTCAACTCTTGACAGATGACAAATGTGCAAGATTTATCCATGATTTATCTTATCAGTCTCTTCTTTTTATGCGTCTTAAATTTTTTTTTCCATCCTCTAAGGTCAACAAAGGACATGTTATGTTGACATATATAAATCAGACGTTATATGTATATGATGCATTTCGACATTGAAAGAATAAACATGTTATAATTGTCTTTGTTTAACTCTTGCGTGCTGTCTTAAGCCTAAAGAGATAGCATTACATTGGTCTGTGTGAAACACGGGAATCGAAAATACGTAACGTCATCTTAAATGCCAACCGTGTCCATTTCGCAGTACATGAGGTACATGATACGGTTGTCAACGGGAAGTACATCAAATGTCAAAACAAATGTTTTTCCAAGTGTTTTATTGAATTATTCGCATGTATTGTAATGAAATGGACAAAAATGTTGACAGTGAGAACAATTAGGTATTAATAAAAATTCGTCGCTGCAGCATTACGGGATGTGGCATTCGAAAAAGCGAAGATCGACCGAATGTAACATTGTACAGGCACGTGTTATTTTTCTGTCTATAAATCACATAAAAGCCCAAATATTTCGTGTAATTAGACATATTTAAGTATTTTATTCATAAATCTTGACAAATATTGCTTTGGTTTCTTCAGATTGCCTGTTTGTTTGTATATTTTGATGATTGTTGTTAACGATTATTATGAGATAGTGTTGTTCTTGGAAGCGTACATATTATCGATACTCTGTTATTAAAATAATTCACTGCGAGGTTTTTATTATTATTATTTTTACTATTTCAAGTTTACCTACAAATAAAAAAACAAAAAGAATGGTTGGAAATCATACCGCCGCATAAGAGTGCCGAATATAAACATTGAATCAAAGATCATCTTCATTTATTTCATTCGGTTCATTTGGAAGAGTCAAATTTAAACATAACTTTGAATGTAACTAGATTACATGATAATGCAATTCCATCATTAGGTTTTTTGGTAAAGAATTTTTATATTTAATTTAGATTAAACAAGACTCATTTACTAGGCACTCTCAGTTCCTGAAAACAAAATTATCCACTCGTTTCCGATTTTTTTCCCACTGACAACTCTAACTACTAAAAATTCTTACTTTATACAGCCAGCAATACAAAGACCATGTTGGTCTAACGTTGCCGCGTGAAGGCCAATACCAACGTATAGACAGCCTATTTGTCTTGCCTTGCCACCGTTCGGTGTCTCTCGCCTAGCTGACCGAGTGTTTGACATGGCTTGTCACAACTCGCAGTCGCTCGTGACTACTGATTTATACAACAGTCTCTCTAAGATGGGCAACATGTACGCTGCTGTCTTACCCGTGCCTGTGGCTGCGCACGCGCATATGTCTTTGCCTGTAACAAAAATACATGTTATTGAGACCTCCATTCTCACCTTAAGTTCTAATCTCGGTCTTTGGGTCTGGCATGGATGTTTTGAGTAGACCTCTCAGATCTAACATTATTATTAAAGAGTAAGTAAGACACAAATAGACGATTTGACGTATTTCCATCACAAGATAAATCGGTTTTTCGACTTAAAATAACACGAATACAACTTGTTTTTGATAATAAAAACAGAAGATCGGTATTTTCTGTTTTTAGCAAGATGTCAAAGTACATACAGCTTCACTATAACACAAGCATAACACGTGTATACATAAGATTACTTTAAAATTAAGGTGAAGTGAGATCCAAAAAAACGATTTGACGTTTTTCGACCACACGGAAAATTGTTTTGTCGACGAAAAATATGAATACAAATTCAACTTTTTTTTAAATTCATAATGAAAAAGGTACCGGTAGTGATCTATAGGGCTCGAAACACGATTGATAAAAAAATCACAAAGTTCTGCAAAATTTACGTTCTACGGAAAAATCAGTTCAATTCGATTGTTAATAGAGATATTGAAATTGAATTTTCTCTCCCGTATTCATTTTATAGTATGGGAGTATATTTTATTTCTAAAAGGTAAATATTTAAATGTCGTGCAATAGATTTCTTCGCATCTATACCATACGCTTCAAAAGCTACGCAAGCATTTCGCATTAAGTATACTCAGCCACATGTCAACCTTTACTCCATCAATCATATTGTTTCACTCTTAGAATAATAACGCATAGAAACCTAGTCCGCACACGCTAAGTGAGGCAAATTGAAGCGCGCCCAATGGGCCTACACGAGCGGGCGGGCCTTCAGTGCTCAAGGTCAACTTGCACTGCGAACAGCTCAAGAGTTTTAGCGAACGAAATGTGCGGTAAATTAGTGTAAAAATACGTCAGACAAACATAAATAGATACTAACATCACATTCCACAAGGAAGTAACGCGTTTCAACTTATATTTTTATATAAATATTCACTAAAACCGAAAATTAACCTACTGCTAAAACTAGCCTACATGAATTTGATTTTTGCGTCACTTGTAACAGTTCGTTTGATATGAAACTATCATTCTATGCGTTATTATTCTAAGGTCTCACTACGGAGAAGTATCGATTTTTCTGCACAAATCAAAGGCGCTCGGCCAATAGTAGTCAACTGACATTGTCAGTTGACATAATCAGACATTTGCATGCTATTTAATATATGCGAAACATGTTTATACTAACACTGTTTCTTGTTACATCTCCTGTTATACCATGTTTTAAGCAAATAAACGTATGATAATAATATTATTATTGATAATATTACTACTTTCATTTATTTCCAAAATTAAATGGAAGTATTAAAGATTCACTTAAATCAGTCACTGATATTAATTCTGTACCAATGCATAAATACAAAAAAAGCTTAGACTGTTTGGAATCTGTTTAAAAATTTCTCTATGAAAATATGAATCTTGAGGTTAGAAATATATAGGATTTATATTTCAAAGTTTTCTCTTTTTTTGTACTCTCAAATTACAAAATATTATTTTTTTCTGTGCAAATTCACTTTTCGTAATATTTGAATTTCGTAGTATTTGTAAACGTAAAACAATAAATTCAGAATTTCATGTGACATTCCCGGATATTCCCACCTAAAATAGTCCTAAATGGAATATTCATCTACTTTAATTAAATGTTTGCATTTCGATAATGACTTTTCGATAGATTATGGTACGACACTAAAGAAATCCGCCGTTTGTTCGTTCAATTTTTGTTTAGGTACGCACGTTCATTCCTTAGGCAACTCCTTTCTTTTATTTTTTTTCCATCCTCTACAAAAATTGCCCGTTAAAAATAGTGGTGTTCATGTAAAAAAAATATCTAACTACTTTTACGATACATCGGTACAAATCATCGATATTTACGATATATCGTAAATAATTCTAAAAGATAAAAAGAAGGAAATTTTTATAAGAGTAAATAGCAAAACCACCAGTTTTGACACAACAACCAAATGAATTTTTTTTATTCTTATGTTCTCATTGGCTAGTATGTGTGGCTAGCCTATGAGAATAGTTTGTGAACAGAATCACTTTAATACGTCACACTGACGGATGACCAGCGAAGCGCTCGAAGTGCGTTTCGTTTCTGCAAAGACAATTTTGAATTGTGTACTTTCTAACTTTGTACGATTTTTCATGTATCGGATAAAATATATCGATATCGAATGATACGATAATATCGGATTGGTTTGATATATCGAGGGCATATATTCATATATATATATATATATCGATATTTTTTTGGATGTCGATATAATATCGAGCACTCCTAGTTAAAACCTGTTATATTAACTGATTCACAAATTAGAAAGATAATAGAACTGATTCATATCTTTCTAATTTGTGAACTGACTATATCTTTCTAATTTGTGGATAACATATTATTTCATTCCACAAAGATGGATGGATTAACAAGCTTGAACAGCTTTTTAGCAGTACATAAACCTCAACTAATTTTATCCGGTGTACCAGAACATTTTTGGCCGACGCTATGCAAGAAAATTCGTGATCAAATTTTCGATTCCGGTTTGTCGTTTCAGATGGCTCGAATTGACTATGAAGATGATGAAAAAATGCCTTACGATCCGGTTTGGGCTCTCATTGCTACCCGGGAAATGGACAATAACGAATCTAGTCATATTTACTTAATAGATCACGCGTGGACTTTCAAGCCGAACAGTATTAAAAATAACCTCCGAAATGTGCCTGGGCTGCTTGAGAGAATGAGTAATCTTATGCAAGTGAATGGGGAAACGGTCGAAGAGAGGATAGTGAACGTTTCGAAAAATGTTTGGAGATATGCACATACTTATGCCATTGGTGGAGATGATTTTTCGGTGGAAGACAGAGTGCCTGTTTGGTATGTTTTGGATGAATTGGGCTCAGCTGTGAATCATAGTGATAGTCCTAATTTCAGAGCTGTGCCTTTCATACATGTACCTGATCAAATGACATATAGTTTGCTGTTCCCAGTCGAAAATGTCCAAGAGGGTGACCGCATTACCAGGAATTATGTTGAGGGACATTTTCCTGAGCCCAGGCAAAGAGAGGCAATGCTGATCCCATGGCAGCATTATGACCATTTCTATGAAGATTTCACTCCTGAAGAACCGGATAGAAACTACTTTCTTGAAGGACATATAGTAGAAACTCTTCCAGATTTAGAAGTTTTAAAAAATAGACAAAGACCAACTGGAAAGCTAAAGGTTTTTTCAGAATATAGATTTATCAATGATTATCTGAATACTCCTGAATTTGAAATAGTGTACAATGAAAATGAGGCTGATATTTTATGGTACTTGCATCACTATAAATCATTCGAAGAACTTAGTAAAAATTATCCAAATAAATATGTAAATCAGTTTCCATTTGAATATGTGATTACTATAAAAGACCTATTAGCAATTGTGTCACGGAGATGTTCTGCAAAATATGAAAAGACATATAGTCACAAATTGGAGACATACCCTCTTTGGTTGCCTACAACATTTAACATGAAGACTGAACTTGCAAAATTAGTATCCTGCTATACCCAAAGGCAGAATGAAGATTTGGATAATTATTGGATTTGCAAGCCTTATAACTTGGCACGAGGTCTGGATACATACATTACAGACAACTTATGCCTCTTATGTAGGTTGCCAGCAAGTGGTCCAAAAATAGCCCAAAAGTACATTGAAGATCCAGTACTGTTTGACAGGCCAGATGTAGGGCATGTCAAGTTTGACATCCGCTATGTTGTATTGTTGAAATATGTAAACCCAACTGAGGTATATGTGTACCACAATTTCTTCCTAAGATTTGCTAATAAAGCTTTTGCTTTGGACAATTTTGAGGATTATGAACAACACTTCACTGTGATGAATTATACAGATGGAGTTCCTTTATACAGAATGCTTTGTGCAGATTTTAAAGACGAGTGGGAGAGACAGTATGCAAATCACAGTTGGGCTGAAGTAGAGAAGTCAATATTCAAGATGTTTGCTGAATTATTTTCAGCTGCAACTAGTAAAAATCCACCTTATGGCATTGCTAAAAGTCCTCAGTCTAGAGCCCTGTATGCAGCTGATATAATGCTGAGTTGGCATAGGCAGAACAATGAGACTGTTATTCAGCCGAAGTTGCTCGAGATGAACTGGATGCCTGACTGTCAGCGTGCCTGTGAATACTATCCTCAGTTTTACAATGACATTTTTTCTGTAATGTTTTTAGATAAGCAAGTTGAAACCTGCACCAAAGTATTGTAATGTTTTTGGAATTTACATATGTATATTAACATTATTGGAAACTACTGTCACAATTTTTTTATTGTTAACTATTATGTTAAGTGCCCATCCATATATATTGTTTTTTTTATCAAAAGGTACATATATGTATAGTACGATGTTTATGTCGTATTGAAGTAAAATACAATTTCAATTAGTATTGTTATATTATTTAAATACCTAATACATATCACTTTAAAGGATTGCTTGATTTTATAAATAAAGGATTATTCAGTATTAAATAACTAGTTCTTCTGGAGTATCCTTCGTTCTTCATCTCTCATTAATCCAAATGGGTTTTCGCTATCAACATCGCGTCGGCTGAGCAGCAGTAAGACGACAATGACAGTCATAATAATGATTATAGGAATCCAGTAGCGCTTGCATACGCCTCCGACTCTTCGCACTCGTGAAGATGGGAGTGAATTCCTAAAATTGTTTAAGATGGCTTAAAATTACACAAATAATTTTGAACTAACTCTACTGGTTACAGATGATTATAGATTATTATTTTGTTAGAGAGGTATTGGTGATTGTACAGTCAACATCAGAAGTTTGCAAAATCTAAATCAATGATTTCAACATTGGCGATATTCATAGAAACAAACCAGCCCGTTGCACCAAGTACCAACAAACAAGTGTTCTCTATTGTGAACAAAATTTGATGTTCCTTACATTTTCACCAAATAGGCAAGTACTGAACAGCTTATTTTTATTTTCGTAATAGTTGATTTTATAAAGGCGTTAAACTTCTAAAATTCGTTTTAAAAGACTAGATACTCTACAATAACAAGTAGGTAGGTAATGTGTTTAATATTGTTGTACTCGCCTTTGTAGTACTGAAGGTGTAAATAAACTACACTCAATTTTGTATGTGCTTTTCATGTCGCTGTGCGATAAAATGTTTATATGTTACACTAGCTCGCAATAATAGTTTTATCAACTTTTGATAAGAAAGAATTGATGTATGTTTGTTATATTTACAGTTCATTTCATTCCAGAAGGGGCAATGGTGCTACACAGCCATGAATGGCTTGAAATGAAATCAGTCGATAATCTTAAAACGTATAACTTACTTCCACCATCTGCTGAGCCATGCAAATGTAGATTTCTGCTTGTATTTGTTTTCATCATGATCAAAATTTTTTGTAGGCTTTCCTTGTTCAATAGGCTTGAAACCTTTCCTCGAAGATTGACCTCCTGCAAATAAAAAACAACATTTCCAAATAAATCTATTTATACAGGCGCCTTGACGTCGAGTTGCGGACACTAGCCCGTTACACCAAGTACCAAGTAAATCTATTTATATATATCTTTGAAATTACTATATAAAATATTCATAAGATTTGAGATTATTTTTAGGCTCAACTCACACTGGCGCAGAGTCGAAGCGTCGTGTCCTGTTTTTAACGACTTCAAAAAAAGGAGGAGGTTCTCAATTCGTCTGTTTTTTTTTTGTATGTATGTTACGCGATAACTCCGCCATTTGTGAATTGATGATTCTTTTTTGCTGGAGAGACCTCAGAAGTGGTCACATTTAAATTTGAAGAAATAATACCTTTAAGGGTGGTAAACTAGGAGATGAATGACTTTTGAGGTCGGTTTTTAGTCGGAGGTTAGTTCAAGTACACCGCCTGCCTGGATCACAGTGGTCGGCGTCTGACGGCCAAGTAACGCGTGTCGACGCGCGAAGCCGCTAGTATGCTACCAAGCTCGACTCGACACTCGATTCCATATTTGCAAAACACAAATTTGTACCTTAATAATGGGAAAATAGAGATGAATATGCTATAGGCGAAAAACATGACGCGTCGCGACGCTTCGACTCTGCGTCAGTGTGAGTTGAGCCTTAGGGTAAACCTATATATTTATTATTTTAACAATTATCAAATTCGATATCAGTTAGATAGTAATTTTGTTCAATATTTAATCCTCAAAATTATTTTATGCTTTCTATTAGAAAATTTGATTCCCTTAATAATAAATGTTATGTGTATAGTTCCCAGTATTGAGAATGTAAAAGAAATTTAAATATAGGCACAAAACGGGTATTTTAAAAACAATGATTTGAAAAAATCACCATGTCGGTTAAACAGAATTTTCTTGACAACCTTGTGAACAAAATGTTTTTTTTTTTTTTTTTCCCACAAACAACAAAAGCATAATTTTTTCAGACTCTAAAAGCTGTTTACAGGCTATTTTGGCAAAGCAATTCATTGGCAAAACTAAACGCATATTATCCTGAAGATCAAGGAAGTTTTATACCAATGTCATTGTAATAATATACCAAGTTGTGTTAGCGTGGGTTCCAGGACACAGTGGGACGCAATGAAACTGCACACATGTTGGCAAAAAATGCTATTGAAACTGTTGTCTTGCTAGCTCTAACTACCAATTATATGTTTTCCTCATGGAGCGCTGAGTGTAACAAAAGAAACTCACTAAGGGCATATATTTCGCTGACATCGCTGACATTTCCCATAAAGCCTTGGTTTTTATCTCTAAAGGATTTAGTAAAACTGTAACGTCTACCTTATGCCGACTTCGTATTGGTCATACCTGCACCCCAGTCCATCTGGCAAAACTTAGAATACGGGATAGCTCAATTTGTGAATGTGGCCTGGATGAAGGCATCCCAGACCACATATTTTTCAGCTGCCCTATCAGAACATGTTCCATTTATGATAGTCTTCCACCTTCTATTCCTGGCCCCGAAAATTTCAAGTTTCTGTTATCTGTTTATACAAATCCCCTCATAGAATTAATATCAGATTTTGTTAGTACTAACAAATTTAAATTATAAAACTAATTTACTTATAATAACATATAGGTAATGGTGATGATATATTGTGTTGCTTTGTATTGTTCCAGAAGCCGGAATAGACTAAAGAGCAGTGTTAATTAATTAAATACTAAAAAAAATGTAAGTGTAACTCCCATGACTGACTTGACATTGGTAAAATTCTTCAAGAGCAGCCAGAAACTTTAAAAATAGAATAGAAAATGTTTCCCGGTACAACGAATTTTCTAAATTGTTTCTGGTCTGGGTGTGTGGGTGGGGATCAGGTAATTGGTAAATCTGGTTGATAGGCACAATATCATTTTTCTCTTTAATATAGTTTATAATCATGTGTAACTTATTACACTGTAATGCCGCTCGTATCAATTACTGCAATATCCGGGTGGGTGATAGCCAGGTGATCCATCAAACAGGTTAATTCATGGTATTAACCGTAGTCTCTTACAAAGGTATAAACCCTTAATGTAAAAAAAGTCAACCACCATAACAAAAATATGTATATGAAAAACTTTTGTCAAGCGAAAATACAGATAATTATTACTGAAATATTTAAGCAAGATATATATAATTAAAATTTTATTGAATTGGTATTCAATTATATTTTGTGAAATTACTCCACCAGTTCATTATAATTATTAATACAAAGATCGAACACTCAGAAAAAATTCTTCGATCCGGCCGGATACGAACCGACGTCTCCCAGCAAACAGCGCCACACGCCATGCCAACTAAGCCACGGAATGAACCTGGGGACCTCACGAATTTTTCTATGTGCTTGTTGTCGAATCTCTGTATTTGGTTTTCAATGACTTTTTAGCGGTAGCGTAGAGCGGTAGTATAAGGTATAATTATTTCGATTCTACATTGCATGTGTATGTATTTTGTACGATTGTCAAGCAGCATTCTCAATTATCTAAAATGTCTGAAAAAACACATGCGCGAAAAGATATCCAAATAGAGATGCTAGTAAAAGTATACTGTATTTAAGAGTATTTATATTAATCTGCCTACCTATGTGGCTGAATAAATATTATTCAATATTCAATGTGATTTATACGTTCCAATGCTGGTCACGGGTCTCCTGTCCAGCGAGGGTTTAGGCCATAATACGCCGCACTGGCCCAAAGCGGGTTGGGGACCTAACCTTCATCGACGAGCAGGTTTCATCACGATGATTTCCTTCACTGAAAAGTTCATGGTAAATTTCGCAAATAAATTCCGAAAAAACTTCCGAGGCTTCTGCTTCAGAGGCGATAGGTCAAACCATTACGTTACCACGGCCTTACATATATATATATATATATATTATAAATAAATACGGAATAAATATATAGCATGAATCCAATTAACATCAAACAAAACCTACTCAAATAAACCATTTCCATTTTTTACCTATATTGAAGGGAGCTAATATTACCTTGTAAACTGTCGCTCCTTTTCGTGGAAGTGTTATCATACATGTTAACGGAATCATCAGGGATTTGAACAATGGAATGTGGCGTGCCATTCGCTGAACGGTTGGTGGACTCGTCATCGCTGGCGCCTACTGGTGTGCCTCGTTGACTGTCCACAGTGCTGTTGTAGTAGTGATCGATTGGTGATTGACTGCGTCTCGATACTGCCCCTTTCAGATCTTGGTCTTCTGATAGCTAACATATATACATGTTAAATTATTGTTGTTTGACTGACAAAGACTTTGAACCGCATTGCTGATTGCTATGCTCCATAAACCCAGATGAAAAGAGAATAAAGAATCTCAAAACAGTTAAAAAGGGGTTAGGGCGCCTCCAAATTAGACGCTTATAGAAGCACTAATTTTCATATAGTATTTAGTAGAAGCGTAGTCGCAACGCCAGTCGTGATACACGCGCGCTACGTTCGCAGTTAAATTAAAGTTAAGGTAAAATTTGATGCGGCCAACGTTTAGTCGTATTTTTCACATGGAACACGTCACCCTGACTATGAATGATGAACAATAGATACAAAACAAACATTATTAATTTAAAAAACTATCAGAAATCTTTAATCATCAAAGAACTTAAATTATGAAGTTATCAGTTTTTATAAGAAGAGTAAATTATGAGAAGAGAATTAATTTGTTACTTATGTTCACCCTATTCACTACTTTCACGCATATTTTTACTTTTTCCACTCCTAAAACTAATATCATTTGCACTTTGTGGAGGCAGTTGCTGTTAGCGGAGCGATTTTTATTGTTGTGATAATGCTGCACTACTTGCGGCTATATTTGGAACTAAGTATCTGAAAGCAGCGTAACAATGACGCTATTATACGATGCTATTCTGGCGGCACATTACTTCGTCGCTTTGTGAAAAGCTACGTGCTATTACAATGCGTTTCATATTATTTTTTTTTACTGTATAATTTACAATAAATTCATTATATTAAAATAGTTACCAAGGGTAGTCCAAGTCCTGCTCTCGCCCAATTGACTCCAGCCAATTTGGCACGTAGTTCATCAGCTACAGGAGACACTAAATTGGGGGGTGGAAATACTGGTGTTGCACAGGAAGGGCATTGGTATCCTGCCGGCGCTGTTGTACGTGGTAGCGCACGGTAACTAGCTTCGGCACATGACCAGTGAAACACATCTGGAAAATAAACATAAACAAATAAGACACTGGACATATTTCGAAAAGAGTTGATTAATTAATGCAAAAGACAGAAGAACAGTCAGAACTATATCCTAATAGCAAGAAAATAGGAAATACAAACTCCAAATGGAACACATCTTAATTGATCACCAGTACAGCTGCCTAACATCATATTCATCATTCACTCATAGTCGCAACGGCAGATTACACAATTAACAGGGGACAAAACAAACCACAAAATCATTTTGATACATTTAATGGTAAATAACTACATCTGTCTATGGATATGCCATAAACTAAGCAGGCATTCTTAAGCCTTGCATTTGGTTTTTCATCAGGGAGTACCAGTTCCTTAGACACAAACTTCATCGCGTTCACGCTACGCGGCTACCCTGTTGCGTGCATCTAACTGCCATGGCAAATACATTCTATTTATTTAGCTTTTACGTTTTAACTTAAATGAGCGTCACGGGCGCGCGAGCGAGTTTGGCTTGTCTTTGGTCTACGCGGCGGCTACGCGGCGACCGCGCGGTTATATTAATCCGAGGAATTTCAATGTTGTTGCCTAGTAAATAGAATTCAGATTCGCGGCGGGCAGACGCCGCGCGAAAACTGGGCGTTAACTCTGATAGTGTATAAGATGTTTGAGTGCTGTAAAAATCAGAGCGATATGCAGTGTGTGGTACAACTCTCAGAAAATTTCTGTGAAACATCATAATAAAAGACTGTGAAAGGTGATAGTGACTAATAATACTTCTATACTTTAGTTATACAGCCTGGGCATTTGGTTTGATTATATTAGATTAAAGGGATCAATTCCTGGGTGAAATGATTTGAGCACATTAGTAATAAAATGCTTCATGTTTTTAATAAACAAAGCTTGTTGTTCTGTGATGTTACAATGTCCTAAGATGTGAAGATAATGCTAAGGTTGAAACCATCACACCATTATAATTTAAGTTGAAATAAGGGAATTTGACTTATGCGCTTTAGTTGGTTGATTAAAATTAATTATGTTGTAGCCAATTAAATTAAAAGTAAAGAATGGTGTGTATTTTTTAAACTTATATGCTTTAGTCTGCTTGTTATACAATTTATAGAACAAAAACTAGAGATTGGTTAACCTCGACGTAATATCGCACATTAAACTAACACTATCACTAAATGAAACCCTAGCTTTTTGAAATTTCAGAAACCTTAATGACCATTGGAAATGAAACTGTTTTTTCAGATATAAATCACATATTACTTATTTCTTTCAAACAAATCATTGTTTCAGGCCGTCTATAGATCCCCTGGTCACGGCAGACTAACTGGTTGACATAAAAACACAAATATATGCAATTTTGATCCAGAAAAAATGGTTTCATTTCCTATGTGTAATAAATACAAAAACTTAGTAATTCCATATTTAACAACCACTCCCAAAAGTGGATCTTTTCCTTTAGCAATGATTTCAACATACAATATGTATTTCAACCACAATGAGGATGTCTTAAACAGCACAGGTCAAACAAGCATGTAAGAACAGCAAAATAGATGCAGTTGCAAGAAGTGTAAGTATGTCAGTAGTGTGGTAAGTAGAGGTCTGTAGTTTCTTATGTCACTGAAGAACAGTAGTGATTTTTTATTTTTTTTTATGATACCAGTTGCCAGGATGAAACAAGGCTTGTGCCTGCTGTTAAGCAACCATAGCAGCTACAGTGCCACCCAGAGCTTTAAATTGCAAAGATCTGAGGGTCACTGACACTGTGTCTGTCACTCTGAGACATTAGTTGACAAGCTTCTTGTGCCTGTAATTTCAACCAGCACCCTTAAGCCTTCAAAACCGGAACGCAATAATAGTCACATTACTGCTTAGCGATAGAAATAGGTAAGGGGGCAATACTTCTTACTACTTACGATAACAAGTGAGGCGAATACATTCTCCCTCGCTCAAAGGTTTTGTGCATATCTCGCATATGGGGTTGTAATCACTGTCTTGTAGCCACTGAAGATACGATTGAATGATGCACTAAAATTACAAGCAAACACATGTAACCACTGTGTTTATGGAAGCAGCTGTTGTCATATGACAACGTGTTTATGAAAGATTTACCTTTGGGTGGTTTGTCACCATACAATATTCACAAACATTAACTCTATGCTCGAAACAAAACTGATTCGTAACTCTCCTTTTTGGACATTTGCACAAACCCATAATGGCGTCTTGATCCTCATATAATCAGCTATTAATTAAATGTCAAGTTATGTTTCCCGGTGAGGAAATAACATGAAAATTCTTTTTAATTTCGGAGACAAACAAAAATTAGCAATGAACGATCGGCCACGTAAATTAAAATCAAAGAGTATTAAAATGTCAAAAGTAATGTGAAATGACTGCGTTCACAAATTTCTTTTAGTGGATTGAAGCTATTGTTTAACTGTTTGAAAAAAATGACATAAACGTCAAACCGAAAATAATTTTGGGGTATAATTTGGTAGAAACAGTAGAAAGCACAAAGAAAGTGGAATAAATAAATGCGGATATTATATTGGTATATGTATACATATGACATATTTATGTAAATAGTTATAATTTTATCGTATTAATAAGTGTGGTCGTAAGCAACGCTAGACAGATGTAATTTACAATTAATTATATCTACGTGTATTTTATTTATGATATTACAACAATAGTTAATTTTAATTATTGTGAGCAGAGCACTAGCTAATTTTTTTCTATGGACGGGGCTTTTTTTATTAATAGTTTTGGCTTGGGTACAAGTCCTTTGAGCCATGTCTTCGTTTAATTATCGGGATCCTCAGAAATATTTGCCATTGTAGTTCTAAATTCTAATATATTATGTTTTCACTTTCCCTCAAATAACTTGGGTCACTTATTTGGGTATATTAAATAGTCTTTTAAGCGGCGGGAGTCAATATTTATGTTTTGCTTTTACTTAAATTACATTATCTTTTATAACTTTGAACAATAACTTTGAATTCGTAATTAGTGGAATTTTCAGGATAAAGTCTTTTGTAATTTGGTATAAAATATGGAATATAGTTCTAACTTTCTTCATCACTGTTTCTTTCTTCGTTTATTCTTCATAATATACTTAAAATAAAAATAATCTTTGTAAAAACTGTACTCGTAACTTTAAAAACCCGTCATTTTTTTTCTATGGACGGGTTGGTACAGTTTGCAAAATAGTGCTGTGAAACGGATCCCATCTACCAATAACGGGGCCATGCCGCCTATGCATCCAATCAAGTACTTGAGTTATTATGTCGATGATGATTATTGTCGGAGTGAACTAATAAATCGTTTTAAATACGTATTGCTTATGAGAGGAGTGGCCAGCAGTGAGATGTAGGCTATTATTATTACTAATTTGAATTTTGTACTAAAAAGAATATCTATTTAATTCCAAAGAAGCTCGTCTTTATGACAGGCACACCTTAAATCGAAGGTATTTGGATTTGACGCATTATATGATTCCCAGCATGGAAACCGGTACGTGTTAGATTAATGTTCATTCTCTCCAAATAAATCGTCAATTTTACCTTGCAGCGCGAGGAGGCGCGCACAGTCGCAGAAATGCTCGAACATTCAGTAGAATTCTCGCGACTGCGTCTTGAGGCCAGTGAGCATAGTATAATATCATTGACAGACATAATCGACATTGTCGATCGAATTATAGACGTTTTCGAGTTGTTTGGGAGTGCTTATTGAGAACGTGGCATTAATTTCTAAATCTAAGAGGGCCTACACAAGTGGCAATCGCTCCCAATCTATTCCATTTCTACAATCGTTAATGATTAAACGAAAACGATAGTAGATTGATAGCCAAAGTTACAAGAGCCTGACGATTGCTCATTATATTCGATAATTCGTTAAAAATCAAAATATAGTCTACGGTTTCGACGGCAAACCTCACTTTGAATTTGACAAGTAGTCGATGTTCATAACAAAACGCGCGGCGTTGAAGTGGAATAAACAATCTGTACAACGCAATCATCAGAAGTCATTTTGATTATGGCGGCTTCCTTCTGGAACCATGCAACAAAATAGCCTTGGCTAAGATGTACAGAATCCAGGCAAGATGCCTGAGAATAATCACAGGTGCCATGAAATCCTCACCAACAAACGCTCTTCAAATCGAATGTCTGGAGCCCCCTCTACATCTACGTAGACAATCCCTTGCTAATAGATTCCTTTTCAAGATCTTTCAATATTCTTCTCACCCTTCGATTCCCGTATTGCAATCCTTGTCGGAGATTATCCCTTCCTCCAATTATTGGTCACACAAGAAACCTCCCCTTCTTATCAACAGTTTTAACAAAATTTCCAATCTCCCCTTCCCTATTTCCCAAAATTATATGAACCCGTTGTTTGAAACTGATTTTAAATGTTTAACGTTTCGCCCAACAGTCTATCTTAGTTTTGGCATCATGAAAGATACCCCTAGAGCAAACCAAGTCTTCAACGATATAGTTGAGAGAGAATGGCGTGACTGGACTACTGTTTTTACCGACGCTTCAAAATTACACGAACATGGCGACTTGGTTGCCGCGGTTTGGATCCCCCAGTTTCATTGTCGTACTCAGTTTTAAATCCCCCTATATGAATTGGGTCTTTTCGGGAGAGGCTATTGCAATACTCGAAGCTATACATACTATATTATTGAGTCCCATAAAATTAATAAATGCTTGGTTTTCTCAGACTCACTAAGTTGCCTCCAAGACATTATTAAGCTACCGTTTCATTCCAAAGACAATTTCTTTATCACCCTCCAAATTAAGGAAGCTCTGTACCGATGTCATTGTGCGGGAATTGAGGTAACTCTGGCCTGGATTCCCGGTCACAGTGGGATCAGTGGCAACGAAGCAGTAGACGCCTTTGCAAAGGATGCGACAAGAATTGGCGTATGCAAATACTGTAAGTGCTTTCCCAGAGATCTGCTCGCCATGACCAAACCCCAAATGCTAGCCTCCTGGTCGGTCCTTTGGCAGGAATCACGACAAACTGTTGGTAGACACTATGGTAACCTCCAACCAAATCTACCCACTAAACCCTGGTTTTTTAAACGTCGTGAAAACATCACTTCCACTATTTTTCGTTTGCGCTTAGGCCATGTTTGCACCCCTGTATTTTTGCGTAAAATCAGAGTCCGAGATCATTCTCTGTGCGGTAACAAGCACTTTAACATGCAATTAGTTCCATCACGCCACTGCTAGATGGCATAAGTTGTACTCTGAAACGCGCTATCGTTTTGTTAACTTCAATAGAATAAAGTTATCTCATATAAATATAATTGTTAGTGCTTTCTGCCTCTGTAGCGTTTATACTGCACTGAATGGTACTCGAGTGTTGAGAAGATTCCGTCCTATTTCTGCTACTCTAAGGTTCGGCACTGTTCTGTTTGATTTCACGCCAGTGAGACATACTGTTAGGTCCATAATCCCGCGTAAATTTACCCTTTTTGACATTTGAAAACATAAATCTTCAGTAAAATAATAAAAATGAAGTACCTCTCAATTTTTCATTCTTTTTTTTCTTTTTTTTCAATCGGACATTTCGAATAACAAATAAATATTTTATTGAATCTAGAGTGGCTTTGTGACTTGAAGTAAATTAATTTGCTCTTGGATTAAATATTTCTGTCTTATAACTAAAATACACTTTTGAGACATTACTATTATCAAGTAATTATTCTCTAGCGTCTATAGGGAGAGGATCGTTTTGTTGGATTTAATAAATTTGTCTTCATAAAAAGAATTTTGTCTTTTTCTAAGTAATCTGTTTTTACCGTGTACTCTTTCGACATTTTCGCTAAAACATAATATAAAACTCCCACTAGACAGTTTTACATTACATTACTTATTAATTATTATTTACGTACGAATTTCAAATTACTCTTATGTAAAACTGCATTAAAAATGTTTTCCTCACTTTTGTTCAATAATTATATACTAAAAACGTTTTTCTTTTTATTATTTCTGTTTATATCGTTTGTCGCGCTCAATTTTTAATTTGATAAAGTTACCAAGCAGAATTGTAAAAATGTTTTAAAATCAGCTGTGATCTCGTAGCCATTGGCACTGCGATATTCGTTATCGCCAATTGGTCGCTGCGCGAGTGGTGTGATAAAAATGTGAAGTCGCGGTGCTCGCCATGTTAGCTATTGTGACAAAATTTTAAAATGGCAGTTTTATCACTCGAATTTGACTGCTAAATGTCGATATAATAGTTTTATCGCGCTGGCATGCTACTGGGGCTGAAATAGGGAGAAGTGCGTAGCATAAAGAAACAACAGGTAATTTCGTAAATATATATTTAAATTTTATATCTTCCATCAATACATACGACACTTACACATTCAAAATTTCGCCATAACTACAATAGGTCTCACTTAATAATGGCTTTCCCTTACACAGATATTCTAGTATTACCTGATATGATTTATACAATGGTTTGAAGTATAATAAAGTACAAAGAAAGACTAAAACTTACTTCATTTGCTAGACCTACTGATCATAAAATTGGTAAGGCAGGGAAGACATTGCAATACAATTCTGTGTTAAAAGAAATCTTGAGAAAAACAGCACCGATACTGTACTTCTTAAAATTAAAATAGTCTCAAAGATTATTTTGAAGTTGCACTTAGTTTTGAGCGTGTACGAAGTTTTACTTATCCCGAACATGCTAAAAACTTTTTGCCACCCCTCGTACATTGCATGTTTGTATTGAATATAAAAAGTATGGTATTGATGGAGGAGAAATATTTTAAAAAATAAAACTTATCGAAATATCTTCGGTGTACGCTAGGAGCTATAAAAATTGAAAATAATACAACTAATTAATTTCATAACTAGTAAGACATTACAATCCCTTACCACGAGATCAGCGACAAGATGATGTAACCCGGTGTTGTTTCGCAATTTTTAATAACTTTACTCACATTGCTGAATTAATAAATTCTTAGTACAGGGTGATAGAAACAGACTATTGCTCGCTTCGAATCTCAACAAAAGCTTTTTTTTAAATTAAAGAATATTTCGAAAAAGATATCAGAAGTCCCTTTGGTAATTTCACGACATTCTTACCAATTGGTGGGAATTTTTGATTTAAAAATCTTTGGACTTTTCTGCATTTTAAATATTCAATAATCGGTTCATGTCCGTCACAATCTAACTATTATATGCATTAATTTAACCGCATATTGCAACAATATGCGAATTAAACATACAACACTTAAGACCTACTATAATATAATACCTAATTATTTTATAAAGTAACAAAATTAACTTATATTTACAATTATCATTAAAATTATAGCAGAATTTTACTATTTTAGCACTAATTATCATTTCGTCAGTTTTTTGTTTCATTGCCAATTTAGAATCTTAACAACGGCCCCTAGACTTTGTGTGAGAAATAATTTCAATAAGTCGACTAAAAGTGCCTTTTTAATACTGGAGTTTGCACAAATACAGTGAAATAAATGGATTTCTTTACTTAATAATAATAATAATAAGTGATAAGGCACCTTTGGTTTGGATACTTTTAATGCGTATGTGAAAAATGAAATTTAGCAAACAGAGGTAAATGCATCTGCAAGGCGATTGCGTTTAAAAGGGGTTACATAAGAAAACCCCGACGAATTCATCTTGGATGGCTTCCATTCGCAGGAGCACTCAACATTTTTTTTAAAACACAACTAACCCTTAGATGCTACTCAGGTTGACTATATGAAGATTGCATAAAACGAAGGTTACGTTAGTATTGTTAAATCGACTGGTGGCTTTGCATGAGATCAAATCCGACGTAAGGAAGTTCTTTCTCAAATACAAGTGTTAGGTTTATATTACAGTACAAGTACATTTTGACTATCATCTGACTACAATTAGCCACCGTTTGACTCTACAAAAAACGAATGTTGCCAGACCATTCGTTTAAAAAAGAAATTGCGATATAAATATCGTTTGTTTGAAAAAGGTGTGGTATCTCTATTTTTGTGACTGTCAGTTATAATAAAAAAAAAGAATAAAAGTTCAAATTAAGAACTTCGAAATAGTTTTTTTTTACGTATGGACTGCTAAATGGCAATTGCCAGCGTGTGGTACTAAAGTCGAATAAGGGCGACCACGTGTGTAGAGAGTGAGTCGCGATCGAGCAACGTGAGTTGAGTTCAGTCGTCGTCTTTTTTCTCCATCTTGGGCTCGTACATTGCGTGCAATTGTTCGGGTGAGATCCTGCAAAGGCAATATAACATTAAAGTCCTGTTTATATAAAACTATAATTAAAAAAATATGCGATATATAACTACAAAAGTAAGTGTATTTTAGTACTGCCACCTTACCTATTTCTGCCGCCAAGCAATTATGTCAGCATTACTGTGTGAAATTACAGGCACATGGGAACTTGTCAAGTTATGTCTCAGGGTGACTGGCGCAGTGGCAGTGACCCTCCAATCTAGCTCTGAGTGACATTGCAACTGCTATGGATAGGCGTGTAGCTTACCATCAGCCGCATGACTTGTTCGTCCCGTCACTAGATACTATAAAAAAATATCAAAAACAATAACTGACCCGAGCAAGCTCTGCAAATCGCAGACGAAGCGGTACACGTAGCGCTTTCCAGCGGTCTTGTGGATGATGTTTTTGTCGTAGTAGTAGCGTAGGCCGCGCGACAGCTTCTCGTAGTTCATCTTAGGCTTGTTCTTGCGGATACCCCAGCGACGAGCGACCTGTACACAATATAGATTGATAAGTCTTAAGTCGAAAAGTACGAGTGCTACGTACATGTCATAGTAATATTTGTGTAGTTGTGTACGCATCTAATGTTATTTATTAGTAGGTTGTTCTCTTGTTTTATTCAATACAAAGAGTTAAAGTCATGTAAAGAATGCAAAGTGTAAGAATTGGTGAGGGACCGATTATCGAGTAAGACCGATGATCGAGTAAGACCGACTGTACAGTATTTCATCTAGTTATTTATAGTCTTAGACATAAAATTGTAAAGGGAACTTGTACAAACCTCATCGGGGTCAGTAAGTTTGAACTCCCAGCCGTCGCCAGTCCAGGAGATGAATCCCTGACAGCTCTTGTCGGTGAGGAGCTCCAGGAGGAATTGCCACAACTGAATCGGCCCTGAACCTGCAAGGGTAGTACCGTTGCTTTACGATATAATGCAAATTCGTTACTATAGTTTACGCTATGAATTTATATAGAACGCAAAAGACCTGCATATCAACGTGATCTGCGATTTCTAATTTAGTTTTAAGTTTGGATTGAATTCTTGAAAACAAACAATTGTTTAGTTTCTACAAGAGGAATGGTGTTACTCTGGGTTACATAGAACTGTTAGAAAGATAAAAACCGCAGTGCCTTACGGCGTACAAAATAAACGTATGATGTCGAGAGTTGCCGCATCGACCAATTGCAGCAGACTGCATACAAGACAGCAGTGCCTTGTTTAACTCACTGTTATCTGGTGATAATCTGTAACTGTCAATATCTGTCAAATCTGTAACAGTCTGCAATCTATAACTGCGGAATTTGAATTTCGAATTTACTGCCATCGTTTAATAAATATTCCTTATAAAGACAATGTTTGGTCTGAAAATTCGTTTGGCCAAATACATGTGATTTGATAGAGATGATCAGAGTATAGTGAAAAAAAAGAATAAAAGTTCAAATTAAGAAATTCGCTGTGGTTTTTTTTAGTTACGTTAGCTAAGTGGTAGTGTGTGGTACTAAAGTCGAATGAGGGCGATCACTTGTGTTGCGAGCAATGTAATTGATTATCTAATTCTATTAACATATCTACATGTAGTAATATTCATCAATTATAATACGAAATATCCATTCGATCATAAAATAATTTAATAAAAAAAAAATAATAAAAAAATTTATGCCAACATTATTCAGTAGGGAAAATTATAATACAACTGAATAAGTGTTGTCGAAGATAGTTTTTATTGTAATTTTTGCTACTTGTGTACATGTCAAACATACCGGTAAAACATGGTCCGGAAGCGGGGTAAGCGAGTTTGTCCTGTGGGATGAGCGCATGTTGCTCGCTTGGCCATTCGCCCCATTCGGCGCACGCGCCGCCGTATTCCGCCGCGTACCCTTCGCCGTAGCCTTCGCCGCCGTACCTGCTTCCCGCGCCTGTCGATAAATAAACTTATTGTTATTTTGATAAACAAATTATAAATTAAGAAACAACATTAATGATCATTATTCATAACGTAAACGTTAAAAACTTAATAGATAACTTAAACGTTTATTTAGGAAATGAAACTATTTTTCTGGATTTAAATCGCGTATATTTGTTTTTTCAAACAAACCGACCTTTCGGGCCCTTTACAGGTTCCATGGTCACGGTTGACTGAGGTGGTACAGTCTTCAACCAGTTAAGTCTAATATTAATGCAAACCACCCTATTTTTCATTATAGTTACAATAGTTATTAATTAAATACATTATATACAAACGCTACATTAAGTTTTACAAATTATTTTATTGAATGAATTTTTATTAAGTTCAATATATTATTATATTGAATTCGGATTGGCAAATCGGAAGTACTGCCATCTAACTATTTCTGCCCCCAAGCAGTACTGTTAGCATTACTGCGTTCCAGTTTAGAAGGGTAAGAGTGCTGGTGAAATTACAGGCAGATTGGACTTTTCAACTTATGTACCAGGGTGATAGGCGCAGTGGCAGTGATTTAAGATCTTTGCGATTTAAAGCTCTAAGTGGCACTTCGACAGGCGCACGACTTGTTCGTCACGACACTAAGGTATTATAAAAAAAAAAATGCATGCGCACACAGCGGTAACCTTCAACATTCCTCTATTCAGATCAGTCGCAATGTTAAGGGTAAAAGCCAGCCGAAGCATCCCGAAGACTGTCGAGACATACCGGAGGCTGTCTGCTTAGTATACCTAAGTTTACCGCAGCTATGTTTTCGTAGCTACGACCACTATCATTAAAATTTCAATTCTCAAGTTTTTCATGACGAAAAATAAATAATACAAACTGTCTTGATTGATTGTCACGTTGTGAATTAGGAATTATAGTTTAGTGTCAAGTGTTAGTGTCTCTGTGATAATTTCATGAAATAAACATCGTGTCTTGTCTTTTTAAGTAACGACAAATTATTAAATAAGTTATACTTAACCTTTAATCATCACCAATCAATATTTAGACAATAAGTTCGAAAATAATATTGTTTCCATTGCGTCCGAGTAAATATTTTGAGATTGCTCAATTTGACTTATGAACAATTTTACTTTATTATCAAAGTAGCGTCATAGTACGAATTCAGTGAAAGAATATTCACAAAACTGCCAATAAAACATCATAGTTTTACATTGTTATTGTGGTTACTTTAACGCGTCATGGTACGAAAAGTCAATGTAATGTTAAAGTAATGTTTGTAAATGTTTAGTAAATGTTTTAAGAGGTTGTGGTAGGGCCCCGTGTCTTACGCTGACCTATAATGGGTTTTATTTATTGTAAGCATCTTTGATGACAAAAAGAATAATTACAGTTTTCGAAAATAAAGTGCAATTAACTGGCACCAATTAAGGAGTCCATGTAATATCCAAGCTGTGAGAGAAACTTGACGCTGAAAATTAATAATGGCGGGCAGATGAAAGATCTTGAAACTGAATACATTCGTTAATTTAACACTTGTCTCGGGTACCTATATTTGGCGATCTCTATAATGAGTTGAAACAGTTTATCTCGCGTACTTTCTAAGCTGTGGCACTGTAGCCGATTATGCTCAATTATGTTCTTTACCGTAAGACGCGTCTCGCATACCTTGAGCTCTGTGGGAACCATCACTCTGGTCTAGACTCATTCAGTTGTCATTTTTAGACTCGTGGATAAGTTGTAACTGAGCGGCGGATTCACGGACACGACTGGGACATTCCAGAAGGGTACCTATTCTCTAGACAATCATGTTTAGTGTACAGAAGTATAAATCTTACCTCTGGGATACGGCTTCGTGTACCCATGCGCTTGGTACTTGTGCTCAGTATGCGTGAGCAGCGGTTGCGTATGCGCGTGCGCGTGGTGGTAGTAGTCGTCGAGGTAGGGCTGTGCGGAGGCGGCAGGGGGCGCAGGCGGATACTCCGGCTGGTAGTACTCGTCAAGAGGGGACGGAGCCGCTGGTGCCGGCGCCGACGCTGGTGCCGCTGCGCCGCCGCCGCTTTCTGTGTAACCGTACGCGTTCGGTTCTCGAGGACCGCCTGTTGTGTAGCCTCCTATAAACAAAAGAAAGAAAAACATAACAAAAATTGCCTCTAACTCATTATGTTTTAATAACTAAAGTTTACCAGTTTATCTACAGCTTATTTCTATCGAAGTGAGCGGTCGGTAAGGAAAAAGAAGCTCTTCCTAATTTTAATCTAATGGTGTTGTACATTATGACGTCCGTCATTACTACTGAAATCCAATATACCCAAAAGTGAGTTCAAAGACAAACTCCAGCCAAAAATCCCAAAAAAAATCAGGCCAACATATGCGACGGTGGCGCGGGCGCAGGCGCAGGCGGCGCGGCGCTCGGGTACCGAAGCGCGACCGTCGCGGTTCACGGCGCGCCCTTTGTTCTGCGTGTGTTGCCGGACCCACACTCCCCCGTTCCTCACCACGCTCCCCGCAACACTCGCACGTTTGGTGGTAGTGATTCCATGTTCATTTGTTGAGTTTGCAAAAGCATTCAATAGAATACGAAAGTAGATACTTAGAATCTTCCAATGGACGCACATATTTATTCACATTTCTAACTAAGATCAAAAAGTACATACACACAGCGGTAAAATGCATTTCTAATTCAAATTTTATAATTACATCACTTAGAGTGGTGCATTGACCTGTCCCATAAGCTGGTATTTCGGTTAATACAAAAGACATCAACGCAGCCGATGACCGATATATGTATGTATTATTATTACCTACAATAGTGAATGCTACAAATAACGTGTTGAAAAATCATATTATATTAGAATAATAAAAATAACTATTCTACATTTTTCCACATTTCACAGAGACACTTGTCAAAAGTTGAAGATACTGAATTCTAATAACAGAATTTGTTAAAATAAACAAGCCAAGCAGGGTTTAGGAAATTATATTTAGAAATGTTTGAACAATATTATTTTATAATTCATACTAAATAAAACATTAAAAGGTATATCTAAACGTAGGACATATATATCGAATTATAATTTTCCCTAATATTTCAAATACTCGAAATTTTTCGAAAAATTTCCAGTATTTGAAATTTTAGGGAAAATTACCCATGTAATTAATATATCGACTGTGAACTGGCAATCGGTACTCTCCATCTTGACAACTTTACAAGTGAAGAAAAAATCGTGATTTATATAGCAGCTGGTTTATTAAATAAAAATATGTATTTTTTAAATATTTTTATTACACATGGTATGTACACTACGTATTTTTATATAATAAACCAGATGCTATATAAATGACGCAAAAACTTTTTTCTTCACCTGTAATATTGTCAAAATTGAGATAGTACCGGTTGCCAGTTCACTGTCGGTATAATGATGTTAATTAATGAAGAATCCTTGTTGATCTTAAAAATGGTATTAATTTCGTTTACTTGATTACAAAATGAAATACGCTTGCTTTTGACAATGCCTTGATTGCAAATGTGTAGAAATTATAATTAAACATAAAAATGCTGTCCCGGTGATATACTTAATGTGCGGTATATATTAAACGTAACCACCACAAATAACTTTCTGCGTGTCAAGGTAAGACCTATGTACAATATTCTTCAAGAACATTAACAAAACATAATAAACTATCATCATAGTTAGTGCGTAATAAAAATATCGAACTCCGAGCTCGTAAATAAAGACCAAGTGGCCATATCGAACAATTTAACAATAGAGTACAGTAGCTATACATCTGCTATATAATAGCTGTATGTATGTAGGTAGTCGGGGTCAGCAATCGCTTATTGTCTGACCATCGTGATGTTTCTCCGTCTATCGACCTAGCACGTGAATGGTGTGCATTATTTTCATCGCAGACTCTAATAAGGCTGCGATAAGGTTGAAACTGCTCTGATTTGTTGTTATATTAATGTACCTAATGTAAGATATTTTTCAATTGTCATTAATGTTGTTATAATTGTAAAGGTTTCTGTTAAAATGTTGCAAAATTGCGGTTAGATAAGTAACTAAAAGTAACTAACTATTTTTGTTTATAAACGATTTCGTTCTTCTAGTCTTTGCTAAGTTTCTGATTTATTTATTTTTATTACTTTTCTTTAGACAATCACTAAGTCTGAACAGACTATTGTCTGTAATCTTTCTTTACTTTCTTTCTCTTTTCTTGATTCCTTCATACGAAGTATCAAGGACCACTTCAGTAACTCCTTGTGCTTTTCTCCCCATCCTTTATTTTTTTCCTGTATTATTATTATTTTTTCAAAAGTATACCTACAAGTAATTAAAAAAATATATTTTTATTATATCAATTGACGGGACGAACAAGTCGTGTACCTGATGATAAGCTACACGTCTGTCTATAACAGCTGCAGTGCCATTCAGAGCTTTAAATCGCAAAGGTCTGAGGGGCACTACCACTGCGCCCGTCATCTTGAGACATAAGTCGACAAGTCCCATGTCCCTGTAATTTCATTTCACCACCCTTAACCCTCAAAACCAGAAGACAGTAATGCTGACATTACTGCTTGGCGGCAGAAATAGACAAGGTGGCAGGACTTCCCTGGACGAACACTTTCACAAGGAGGGCTAGTGCTGCTTACATATATTATATTTATATGTATTTATAAGTAACCAATAAGTAGTGTATTTTGCATCTTCAAAACTTAGAATAATAACGCATAAAAACCTAGTACGCACACACTAAGTGAGGCAAATTGTAGCGCTCCCAATGGGCCTACACGAGCGGGCGGGCCGACAGTGCTCAAGGTCAACTTGCACCGCGAACAGCTCAAGAATTTTAGCTAAAAATGACGAAGTGTGCGTAAATGTGTGTAAAAATACGTCAGACAAACATAAAATAGATACTAACATCACATTCCACAAGGTATTAACGCGGTTCAACTCGTATTTTTATACAAAATATTTACTAAAACCGAAAATTTATTTCGTTGCAATAAGACACGAAAATGTTGCCTTCTCCTCCTAAGATCTTATAAATCCTCTGAGATCTTAGAGGATGGAACAATAGTCTAAGATCGTAAACGTAGATGTCGAGTACCTACGTTTGTCACCTTTTCCATTAAAACAAGGAAAGCTACTAAATATATAAAGAGGCTATATGGTAGAACCTTTGCCTACCCAAACAAATGGGTGAGTTTGAAAACAAACATAAAAATCGACTTTAAACGAAAAAAAAAATAGGAGTAATTGTGATAGCTGTACAATATAGTTATAGTATAGTGGTATTAGTTTAGACTATGGAATTCCTTTATTTTTTTCATTCCTCTAAGGGTATTAGAGAGACCCAAGGCTCAATTTATATTGCGGAACGAAACGGTGGCTAATTTTTGTAACAATATTGTACATAGCATAACGAACTTTATACCCAAGAGCGAGTGTGTCGGTCGCTTATACACCACAAACACAAACACAAAATCATAAATGCAACCACAAATTATTCTGTAAACACATAAGTATAGTTGTATTTGTGTGTTTGCATAATATGCAAACTCTCTCTGAGCTCTCGCTAATACCACAATAAGATTGTACATTAGCTTCTTTTATACTTAAATTATTGTTAAGTCAATTCAAATCACTTCACGGTTTCATTGGTTTTTTGGAGCAGGTGGGATACGTACCATGCAGTGCATGCAAGTGACAGTTGGGGAATGTCGTTGACCGTCCGTCACTGTCCGTGACACGTTCTCATGGTCTGTGGCAGATTGGTTTTTTTATTGACGGTTTTGGTCACGCGACCTTTTTTTGGTGTTACGTTCATACATACTTTATTTCGTGGGTAATAAGGTTGCAAGTTTAGACAAATACTGTCTGTTTATGTTAAAAAACGTAGATGTTTCTAACACACTTTTCTGGCTTTATCAATCAAATTCATATCTATAGTCTGTCTGCAGTGTTAATAAATAAATGAGATATTTACAGATAAACTAACGGGTGTTCTGCGCAGTGGCAGTGCCCCTCAGATCTTTGGGATTTAAAGCACTGAGTGGCAGTTATGAATAGGCGTGTCGCTTGCCTCCAGGTGCACGACTTGTTCGCCCGATCAGTTGGTATCATAAAAAAAATAAGTCGATCTTAAAATTGAAGTTTTTTTTGTAGAGTTTTAACGGTTTTGTTATAAAGTCATAGGTATAGCCTAGTCTTTATTTCTTTTCGCCATTTTGGTTTCACTTTTCATTTAGGTTTTCAGTGTTCAAATGACATCAAAAGTGGACATTATGTGACTGTAAATGGCTTCATTAGTGTCTTCGTTTTTTAATGGAGACGGCAGGACGTGGGAAATGTCTTCTTCTTCTTCTTAGGTCTTCATTAAGCCATCTACTTGCAACAACTGTTGAACGTTCAAGGGAGAACATTGTAGAATGAGATGATTGAAAGGAATGATATATCACCGAAGTTTTTAAAGGAAATTGGTAAAGTCAACATAAAGAGTTTTTATGGCTACAGATAACTGGATTTTCGTTGTTGGTACCTACGGGTACACTTAAGATTTAAATCCAATTCTATGCCGATTACGATCAGCACGGTCCAAAGTACAAAGTGTCAAGCTTGAAGTGATCTTGCCTGTACAATAAACGTCACAACAAAAAAGGTGTTGTTTACCTAATAATCAGCCTACTAGTTTCAACAAATTAGTGTCAATAAAGCGGAAACACCATTTTCTTGCGTTACTAACAACAGATAAAGCAAAAAGAACAAAAGAACGTGAACAAATCACTAGGCTGTCGAGACGACAAATTGAAATATTTTAATGAGCCACAACCGGATAATTACAATCCCTAGACAATAAATTTTACAAAAAGCATTTGGATTTAAGTTAAAACACGTAAAAATAACGTAAAAAGCTCCCCTGGGTTTGATCCCGTGACATTTAGTGAAAAAGTTTAGGGGCAAGGCAGTCAGCACGCCTAAGTCAGTGGCTTTGTTAAAATAACTCAAGTTTTATAAATGTTTTTGAAGGAATTCGTTATTTATTACTTCAAAACGTGCTTTGTTTGGGCTGCAATATAAATTAATTACCTACGATTTGTAATTTTCTGTGG